CTCGCCGAGATCACCGCCTACAACCAGCGCTACATCGAGGACATGAGCGGCGTGTTCGACCGCTGCCAGCAAATGGAGGCGCAGCGGCTGACCTTCTTCAAGGACGTCCTGTTCAGCTTCCACAAGTGCCTCAACATCAGCCAGGAGCCCACGTGAGTGCGAACAGTCTCGGCTGGATCAGACGGTTTTGTTCTCTCGAACGCTTGTCGACACTTGTCTACCTTTGGGTAAGACTCGATCGGAGACGTGGTCTAACGTCGCCGGGTTGTGTAGACAAATGGATATGTTAGTGTAAATCGCTGAAATCAGCCGGGCTAATTTATAGTATCAAAATCGCATCCTTTTGCAATGTATATTATAGTATGTTGAAGCTCATATAGACAGGCTCAGCAGCCTTACAAGCCTGAATTAGGCTGTATACAAACAATGATGACTACATACATGCGCCTGACGTAATTAATAACATATTTTTGTGCTAATATAAAATGACAATAACATTGACGTTTGGTGAAAACATTGTTTTTGTTGCTGATTATACAAAAATCGGTAATTGACGATCCGATTGGCGCATTGGATGATGTACCTATCTCTTGCGCCAGAGCGGTATGGGTTCGATCCCCACTACTGGAAAAATATTAAGTGATGAACATAATGTTTTCTAGTTTCTGGATGTTTATATATCTATAATATATACTTATTGACAAAAAGAAAAGTATATTAAAGTAAGTTTATCAGTTCTACTCTTGGTACAAGCTTTGCTTAATTTGGGATTAGATAACGTTGTGTAACAATATGTCCAGAAAATATTTATCATTATTAACTAATTATATTTATCAGTCTACTTATCGATCCACGTATCCTGTTCCTCGTTCCAGTTTACCGCAGATATACGAAGAGTTCCATCACACGATAAACAACGCCGACCACCAGAAGGACCTCAAGTGGTGGGCGAACAACCACGGGGTCAATATGGCCATGGCCTGGCCCCAATTCGAGGTAACCACAGCTCACCAACGCCCCCCAGCATGGGCGTAACCGACGACCGGTCGACTAACTAAGAGACAGAACATTCTAGAAGCCGGTCTTGGAAGTTACGCCCATGTACCGCAAACGCCTTTGATAAACGTAACCGCGATGTTGTTTGCAATGTATTAACTGGAATGCTTGGTTGATTCTAGACATTACCTCCCTTCTAGAAGCTTCTCGATGTGGGAGATACGAGCATGTTTCGACTCTTAGCCGCCTTAGATGTTTACCCTCTCTGTATCGGTTTTATTTATATACATCTAAATATAGAAAGTATTTTGAACTATCTGACCAGTTATATATTTTCGTTGTATTTTCATATCAGAAACAACGGAAGTTTATTAAACAAGTAGTGTCTAGACAAAAACTAAATCAATAGTTCCAGTCTATATTTCTCTATAATATTTAATTTTTTCGATAGAAAAAGATCAATAATTATTACATTGTTAAATATAAAAAAATGTAAAACATTTTAACAATCTATAAACGGTATAATGAATAAGCTATAAATGCCGCAGTTATTCCATACGAGTTATTAATGATTATATATTCGAAAACTAAACAAAGAATAGTAATTATTCATGTAATATTTATTTTTGTTTTATGGAGAATAAGAAGTAGGTTAATGTAAACAAGCATTATATTATTTTATATGAACCCATATTAATTGGTCAATTCCTAAATGAGTAGTAAAAAAGTAAAGTAACAGCAACGTCGTCAGCGCTTGTAACCGTACAAGCGTAAATATTGACATTGCATATTTGATCGAGATAAAGTACGCTTGGCGAACATTTGAAAAAATATTTGCCGATGTTTCACCACTTACAGATTACAACATTCTCGCTTGAGAGTTGGAATGAAATTAGATAAAAGAATCGTTCGTGATCCAAAATTTGAGGGAATAACTTTAAAATATTTATGTATGTTTAAATATTCTTTTAACTCTTAACGGACAGTTACATCATATATGCGAAGTGATTCGCACATATTAACTGTAAACAGATGTTTACAACACATATGCGAAGTGTAACTGACGTGGGCAATGCGTTGCAAGGACACACCGACGGACTCTACGGAGGCCCGGTTCGGTTACCTCGCTACGGCGGCCTCTACGGTTGTAGAGCGCGCAGCCTCGATACGCGAACGGATCTCCAAGTCCGCCCTTTGGGGCGCATTCTCCGTCTGCCTCCGGCTCGGAGGGGACGAGAGCAAGTCCCGCGTGGCGCCGTCCGTCTGTAGCTACGACCTACAGGATCGTTGCTACGCCAACCCAGTTTTCATACCGGTACGACAGAGTCACGATAGGGATGTCGAAAGTGAGGAAATATATCGATATTTATAAAAATATCAAAATCGGCCTCGATATATCGATACCTCGAATAAAGGTCCTAGAAACACCTTTGTCAAAAAAAAGGGTTTGTCAAGTATTAAATATTTAACACCTAGATACTATGTGCCGGATTTGAATTTGAAAATATCGTTTTTATTACGATTTTCGATATTGAATGTTATATATTGATATAGTATAGACCGAAAATATCGATATTTTTTTCGACATCCCTAAGTCACGGTGTGGGAAAAGAACGCACCGCACGTCTAGAAGTGACATAGTCATGATCAGAAGACACGCGCCATTTCCAGCACGGCCGTCGCTAAATGATCATTTATTTTCGTGTTTACAGCAAGCCTCTTTGTAAACATATTATACGTAAATGTATCCGAAGTAAAGGATTTTTTTTATTTGAAAAATAGGATATTACGGGTTGCATATGATTGAGTAATAACGTTTAACTAAATATTGTTTGATGGACAAATGTTGACTACGTTCAAAAATTTTTAATTTCATCAGATTTACGGAGTTGGTGATTCTTTATTTTATGATAAGATTTGATTCCATTCGTCTAACTGCGATATGGAAACGAAGTTTTCATTAAAAATATCTTTACATTTCATCTTATTACTGTTATAATGTATACGAGTTATAAAAATTGTCGACTTATAACAATTAAACAAAAAAAAAATAACATACGTAAGGCAATGGCACGGCATGTTGTTTAACATTATTGTTGTGGTATTGTGTAAACACAAATGTTATTCCAAAGGGAGGTTTAAGTGTTACTCAAAAAAGTATCCTATGTGTTCTACTCTTGTCCATCTTTAATTATACAGAATATGTTCTTCTTGAAAGAGTTGAAAGATTTTATTGCATATATTGAGAAATGCATACAATTTTCCATACCGTATACGATAAAATATAAATACTCAAACGGTTTCAAGATTATAAAAAAATGTTACAGCTACCTTAAATATATAAATTGAATAGACCAACTCCGTAAATCTTTTCGGCACAAAATAGGTGCACCAGATACGGTTAAAAACGGAAAAATCCGAGCAACCGTCGAGCACCCCCCACCAGGTTTGGGTACACACCGTGATGATGAATTGCCTCCGCAGAATGTGGCGGAGATCACCACACCTCCCAACCAGGGTGCACCTGAATGTCACTAATTCCCCCACTGATGGCGTGGATGACCTGACCTTATCACAATCCATGACCCACGGATCAGACCTCAAATAGCTAGAAGCTAGCATCGCAAGCTTCTAATATCGATGCTTCGTCTCATGTACGATAGTAGTATTTTGACAATAAGTTAATAAAATTATTCTGTATCGAATAAATATATTTGAATTTCTCAAAAGCTTTTGAGTATTAAAAAAGCAGCTTATAACTTATAACTAATAACTAAAAAACAACTGTATTTACTATAATTACATGGAAACAATTAATTCATTCCAATCTACAAGTTGAATTGTAAATATTCCTGCTTCGAATTACTATTGTATATACATAGGCCAGAGATTTAGAACTAATGAGAATCCTTTAAGATTACCAACTCACGCGTTGCCCAAGGACGTCTCTTGTCCCTCAAACATACAAAAAGTAACAGGTTGTTTTTATTTTCAATTTTGACACTCTTGCAAAAGTACAATTACCCAATATTTTAATATGTGTGATAGAAAACACTTGTATCGTTTTAACATATAAACTTATGTAGGATGCAAAGATAAAATTTATATACATAATCATTTATATTGATGAGTTTCCAATTAAGTATTGCCTCTTGTCCGTCGAAAACTAAAAAGTATTGCTTCGTGTCATTGGAAACTCGACTATTTAAGTATTGACTTGTTTCATTAGAAAGCTCAGGAATTATGTATTGCCTCTTAATTTGAATAAACTAGAATTAGGTATTGCCTCGCGTCATTTAAAAACTCGAGTATTGCGCCGTGGCATATGAAAATCGAGGATAAAGTATTGCCTCCTGCCATATGAAAACTCAAGAATTAAGTATTACCTCGTGTCATTTAAAAACTCGAGAATTAATTATTACTTCGTGTCATTTGAAAACTCGACAATTTAGTATGGCCTCGTATCATTTGAAAACTTGAGAATTAAGTATTGCCTCGCGACATGTGAAATCTGGAGTTTTAAGTACCGCCTCGTGTCCTTTGAAAACTCGAGAGCCAATCGGAGGCCCCGGAATCGACCACGCAATCTCACCCCACCGCCACAGCATCGCATGGTTTGCCCCTCGACGGATCCACGAGCGAAACGAGTACCACCGCATTCCGCTTTATGTCTAATAAACACTGGCTTTGTATGATGTTCCCTTTTTTTTTAATTTTGTTACATCTTTAATTTTGTTCCCGTACCCATCATCTGTTCATTTTGATTTCGCCACGACGACGCGCCGAAACGTTGGGACACGCGACCACACCGAGCGCACGGTCAATTTCCATTTTCTAAGCGCAATTTGAATTTAGAAAACTTTACAACTGCGATGCTTCACGAAAGAATGCAAACGCCAAAATTCGCACAAGCCAATTTGGACCTGAATCACGCGGCAATTGAGCCGGTGTCCCAACGCGTCCGGCGCGTCCGACCGCCCGTGACCGCCGTGTGTGGTGACCAGGAGTACACGGAGGAGTTCCGGGACATCGCGAAGGGCAAATCCAAGGAGAGCCTGCCCACCGGACCCATCACTCTGCTGAACCAGCGGCCCGTCAGCGAGGACGTACGTCTCAATTTACACGCAACTCGTGGTCATCCCACTCGATGCGTTGGATAGTTAGTTATTATCCGACGCTTACTTTGGTTCTTTGTAATGTCAAATAGTTCGCATTGCATTTTCCTTCTCGGGTCTTTGACCTCGTGATGGTTAAATAAAATTAAAATTCAACATCATTTAATCAAAAAATGTTCACTTCAATATTTGTGGTCAATTGCACAAATTATAAATGTTGGTATTGATTTTACCTTAGTTTAACTTGAGAATGATTGAAAAGAGATCGTGTAAGTCGTATTTGATCAATTCCCGCCAATAATAGCTTCAGATGTCACGAGTTGTGAAGTTTAAAATTTCTTTTCACCCACGCGAAAATAACTTATACCTTTTTTTAATTCGATATTCGAATTAATCTTTGAACACGATTTTAGATGAAATAGTTATTCTTGCGTGGTTCGTTTAAATGGGACTAAGCACATTTTATTCCAACATAACAAGTTTATAAGACTTTACTTAGTTGCACGATGCATAAATAAGGACCAAAATTGAGTTATTTGTTTTTAGCAAAATTTGTGATTGGTTCCAGACTAGGATTTGAATGAGAATGAAACAGGAAGACCTACGTATTACTCTCAGACGGACATTTTTATTTTATTTTGTTATCTTTGAAAATTCTATCGATATTCTATTTTTAAGTATATGGTTTGCATGTAATTTAGTTTGGTTATGGGTCATTCTCAGTTCAACCTATGCTAGCATAGTTAAGTGCTTTTTATGTATTTTTTTTCTCTCATAAATGTTGCATGATGGATGTAGCTTTAGACAGAATGCATTTTGGCACGTTAGTAACATGTACCGATATTAACCCAAATAATTAGCATTAGTCGGGAGATAAAGATTTAATTGTCATAAGAATTTTTTGAATTTCAGACTTAAATAAATATTTTTACTTTAAAATACGCAATTATTGAACCACACGAAATTATAATCATCAAATGTTCCAAACTCGTAACAGTTTTTTTTTTCGGGATTATAAATATAAACGTTACACTGTTAATTTTTTTTAAATTCGATATACAATATCTATCAAAATACATTCGAAGATGGAAACATGTAGATAACGTAATTGTCGTGCATGTGACATGACAGCCAGTCTCCTAACACCCGCGCGGCTTTGACGACAGGAGTTGCCGCCGATCAGCTCGAACAAGTCGGCGAAGAACGCCAACCACACGGACCAGGTGGGCCACAACAGCGCCGCCAACAACAGCGTCGCCAACAACAGCGTCACCAACAACAGCAACAACACCAGCGCCAACAACACCATCGACAAGAAGAGCATCAGCGCCCCGATAGCAGTCACGTAAGTCCCAATTACTCTACTCAAACTCTCTAACTCTACTCTTAGTCAAATTAAAAGACAAAAAATCTTTGTTCAATATATGCTTCACTAAACTAGACTTTTTTTTGGTATCGGTGGGGAAAACTTCGAAAGATATCCTGTCATTACCCTGTCATCTTACATGACAGGGTAATGTGGGGTTCTTACCCACTAATACCCCCCCTCGGTGGCCACCTTCTGTACATTTGGAGGGACTCCGGGATCTCCCATGGAAAGTACCGAGGGCTACTACGCGTGAGCTCGCCCCGAAGAAGAAGGGTAAACCTTCTCCGATTCCCACGCCCTTCTTCTCTTCTTGCAGCAGCACGAGATCACTTCGTGTTGCTGCCCATCCGTATCCCCCTTTAGTCGCCTTTTACGACAGGCAGGGGATACCTTAGCCCTATTCTATGAGCCCGAGACTACAGGGTTGTCACTAAACTAGACCTGTCCAGGGAATAAACGGAGGAAACTCTGCGGTCTTTTTATCTTTTTTATGATATATACAAACTTTGTTAGGTATAATATCAGCAGCAATCAGGAACTTGCAAGCGCAGAGCAAGCGTGATTTCCATACATCCTCAACGTATTCTTTGACGTTATAATAGGCCCTTTCCATTAGGGTAGCTTTTAAAAAATGTTTGTAATTGTTTGAACACTTAGTTGTTTGTCGATGTCGCCTGTCTTCTTTTTCATGCTCTTATCACTTTTATGTGGGTTCGGCACTGCGAAATATGCTGTAATGACTTGCCAATACCATTGGCTAAGTTTTTTTACGATCGGCCGCCTGCCTGACGTCAATCTCCCTTGGGAACGAACATCCAGATCCGAAAAAATTTTCTTTGGATCACTAAAACACTCTTCCCGGTGGGAATCGAACCCGCGATCCTCAGCGCTGAAGCCAATGGCTTAGAAACCGTGCCACCGAGTCATCTATTATCTTTTTTTAAACTATTTTCTTTTGTTTGAAAAGTTACACCTTTGAACGGGAAAATCTTGTGTTGTAGAGGCGCTTTGCAAACATAAATTAGAAAAGGATATACTGTTTGTATGAAATGTGAATTGTTCTTGTGCCTTAAGGATTCGAACCCACAACTCAGAATTGCCGAGGTTCAGGCTAGGCGCCTCGTGCGCCAGGCCACCTCAAGTCCGTCGGATCTGTAAAGGCCCCTAAGGCCAACAGTGGCTCATCCAGCCAAAAAAAAAAAAAAAAAAAACAGAAATTGTGCTAACCGTGTCACCGTCTATTAATATCGTTAAATAATTTATCAATCAGCCAAGCCGACATTAAATTCGCACGAATTAAAGAAGGAAAGTCCTCAGTTCTGGACTCAATATGTCCACTGAACCTTGCGATTTTACTTTACTAGTGTTCGGTTCTCTGTTGAACGAAACAGCTTTCTTTTCAATTTTTACTTTAAAGTAAAGTAAAGTATCAGCCTATACATGTCCCACTGCTGGGCAAAGGTCTCCTCTGTACAGAGGGTATTCGGGCATAGTTCACCACGCGGCTCCACTGCGGATTGGCGGACTTAACATATCTTCGAAATATTTTTTTGTTATATTTCGAAAATATGCAGTTTCCTCATAACGAATGTTAGGAGTTAGCCCCAAAAACTAGTGTAACTAAATTTTGTTCTGAAGTTTGATGCGTAACTTTTCTCCCCCTCCGCCACAGCATTGAGCGTCTAGAGATATATATGTGCGGACCAGAGTCTCGTCGGATTCCCAGCAGTTCTAGAGACACTGGGATGCTATCACTGAACCCATCAACATCTGCCTTGTACAGCATCACCGAATTGAATCCGTTCGTTGAGTCACGATTTGAAATCAGTAGTTTGAAGATTATTATGATACTCAGTTAGTTGTATTTTTAAATAGTTTATGTATATTGTCGTATTCTAAACGGTAGGGCATTTCGACGTCGATTGCAAAAGTCGACATCGAATGCAGTTGTAGATGTGGTTAGTCATTTAATTGTTGTCTGTATGTAGTTGTACTTATTGACTGGTATACATAAGTATGGTATACCAAGTTCTCCATTAAACTTGGTATGTGCAAGGTCATTCGAGCGCAAAGGTTTCGAATACCGCTGCCGTTTTGAGCTGGAATTTTCTTCCAATTAAAAGTTGATTGTACTTTATATCAATATTCATATCAAGGGTTATTAACATTCCTTGTCAATGTGCTTCAAAACTAGTCCTTAAGACAGTTGTTACTTAAAATTTAACGAAGTCAACTGGTTATTATTAAAGTTTAAACTTTGTATAAAGCCAGCTGAATTATTGGCCAAGTCTTCTGATTCAATGGTTAAGGTAAACACGTCAATACATTTCCATAAAAAACAATTTGGATAGACAGTCTTTTTTACATTCGATAGAATTAGTTAGAATTTGCCACACTAAACAGATAAGATATATACATTTGTTTTAATTCTTTTCCCAATTAATACTTGCAAAAATGGACGTCTTCCGGAATCGCGCCCACTCTCTTTGACCACTAAACTAAACGGCTGAATGCCACACCGACGAAAATCTCAACGTATTTTATCTGCATTTTAAACAATGCCTTATCTTGTGTTAATGTTTCTTCCTAAGTGTAGAGATAAACAATATAAAAAAAACTTAACACTTTTCCCAAATCAATTTATACTGATACGCTCGCTCTATACTTTTATGACAAATGAAGCCCGCAGATGCGGGCAGCCTTTTGGGGCATTTTTACATATATCCCAATCGGCCCCTACAAAATTCTTCACTCGGCAGAACCAAATGTGTGTAGTGCGTTACCGATTCCCGTCCAATTCGTATACAGCCCGTTACCGGTTCCCGTGTAATCCGTGTTTTTTTTTTCATGCGAAAAGTTGTCAAACGAGCAGATGTTTCACCTGATGTTAAGTGAATACCGCCGCCCTTTTGAAAATTGGGCTCCGGCTACCTCACTCACCAGACGAAACGAGAAAGTATTTTTCACACTTCCACTTTACGCTGGTCTTTTGTGAGGTCGTGGAACTTACCCGGACGGGCCTGCCCATTCGTGCAACAGCCGAGGCCGCTGCGTGGCCCTACCACCGTCAAAATTGTCCTATACAATCCGTTCCCGGCTCCCCTCCAATGAGTGTACAGCCCGTTACCGGTCCGGCGCGTTCGCGTTCCAGCAACGGGACGGCGTCCGCGCCAAAGTCCGCCAAGACCTCGCCCGGCAAGGACAGCGGCCGCCAGGACAACCCGTTCGAGGAGGAGGAGTGGGACGAGGAGTCGGGCGGCGCGCTCACCGACACCGGCGAGCCGGGCGTGCCGGTGCGCGCCCTCTACGACTACACGGGCGCCGAGAGCGACGAGCTCAGCTTCCGCCAGGGTGAGCTTACACCACACTAAGATACATCAGTGTTTGTTTACATCACACTAAGATGCATCAAATATTGTTTACATCACACTTAAGATGCGTATGTTTACATTACAGGGTAGGCTTACGCGTGTTTACATCGCCCTTAGATATTTATTACCCTTTGTTTACATTACACTAAGATACGTCATCTTTTGTTTACATCGGACTAAGATACGTTGTCTTGTATTTACATTGCACTTGTATTGTACTATCATGTTACATTTAGTTTTCTTGTTAACATTGCAATATCGGTTGTGGTCTGACATACGTGTCATTGCATATTTTGCTAGGCTACCTTGTTTTAATAGCTTAAAACAAAGCTTATTTACCACATAACAGTAAACTGTATAATCGAACATCCGATTATACAGTGAATAGAAATAAGCTAAGCGTTTATTGTTTATTGAAACACAAAGTTTATTGAAACAAAAATATGCAGGAGCAGGTAGATATTTCCTATACAAAAATTTGCATTTATATTATCTAATACCGCTTCGATTTACGGATTGTCGGATAAACATTAGTATTGTGATAATATCTCCACGCCCAAAAAAATCTTTACATCAGTCCAATCCATATATATGGGCTCGTATATACGAGCCTCCTATAATAAATTGTCCATTAAAACTCTTCCAGGTGATCTATTCGAAAAGCTGGAGGACGAAGACGAGCAGGGCTGGTGCAAAGGGCGCAAGGACGGTCGCGTGGGCCTCTACCCGGCCAACTACGTGGAGCCAGTGGGTCACTAGCGACCCAACGGTGGGGCAGCCCTGCGCTCAACACCAGCGAGCGCAACGCCCTCGTAGAGGTCGCGTCAGGCGTACGGTGCAAGTCACACGGGCCACGGTGTGACGTCATCGAGTTACAATTGTGGTGACGTCACTAATTTAATCACCACATCTTTGTCTGGTAAAGTGATAAAAAAATAACTGGAACATTGTGTAACACTGAATATTTTGGTCTTCGCGTCTACTTGTTTCTTACCACATAATATGGTAGTCTCATATCGCTGACATTATTTGAAATATTATAGCAATAATGTGAAGACCGCGTTTTCCACAGCGGATTTTGTGACGGATAAAATATGATCGATCGACCGTTCTATGGTACAACTGACGCGGCTCGGGACGAGTGCTCGTCAATCGCATGTATGTGAACACGATATTTGTGGATTCGCTGGTGCGACAAGTGGCCAGCGCGTCGCGTCCGAAACAGAGCAATAATGGTGTTAATGTGTGAGCGTTGCATGGAATTGACTTGGAAATAGTTTACACGATAGCCGCTGCGTTTTTATTTCTTCGGTCAGACCGCATACGAGGTGCGCGTTTTTCAATCGATCAATGCGCAGAAAGCCGGTAAGCCAAAGCGTCCTTATGACTTATACGATTAAACCAATCGATGCTAATCATCGCGATTAAAGATTTTCGGCCGCCATCTTTAGTTTGTGTTGTTGTTTTCTTTTTAATTGTTCGCCGACTGTTTTGTACAGTTTTTTTTTCTTTTTAATATTCCGGACGGTTCCGTATGTAGAGGTGTGCGGTGTATAAACGTTGGCGGACGAAATAGTTCGTGCGCGCAACGCGATAACCAAAAATGCTTTCGTAATTCTTAGTGACGTCTAAACGCGGTTTATTGTACACAATTCGGCGCTGCAACCCCAAGTGTCTTAGAATCGATTCGCTGAGAGCTTTCGTTGTGCGCATTTCCAGGACACAGCGGTTTGAATCTAAGACAATACGAGGACTTTGACTCCTCGAGAAATGAGCCAAAAAAAATGTTCGCCAACAATAGTAAGCGGAATGTGTATGAAACTATAGCGACTGGATGTGTTTATTCTAATTCCCGTTTCCTTAACAATAGTTTTACTTTTAATTTATGAACGACGAGAGGGCTGCTCTTGTGACGATGCAGTTGACGATAGTTTCGTTTTGATTTTCGGGAGGCGATGGGGGGTTACCTAGGTATTAACCCCCAATGTTTGCAGCGCACTATCATCGGGTGTGGTCGTGTACATACGCGGTATATCCCTTCTTGCATATAGAATATTTATTTCCCGTTGTATATAATGTATAATGATATTTACATAAAGCGCAACGTGACGGCGCCGTGTTTTGCTCGCTACGGCAGCGAGGGGCCTAACTATATTTTTCTCTGGAGCTTTTACCTACAGACGTTTCCACGCGAATTGCGAGGTGCTAATTTCCGACGAGTGTTTTTCTAATTTTCTATCCGCGCGCCAAACCATCGCCGCCACGTTGTCTAGGTTAGATAACTATAGTTAGTATATGAAGAATGTTTACCTTTTTTTTTTCTTTTCGCGTTTTCTTTTTAAAAATTCACGTTCGAGGTCCCACGGTGGCTGGGACAAAGTTTCCATGTTTAGTCGTAGCTCGTATTTGTTTCATTTGTTATGGGTTCAGAGACCACTTGTGAGAAATTCATTGTATTATAATATTATCAGAGAGAGGGTGGTTATGGACCACATATTATGTTAATATATTATTAATATTGGTAAAATAAAAATTGTTACATATGAATACATACGTGCGTTTGATTTCAATTACCTCAGTCAGCATATGACCTTTACGGTAAAAGAACAAAACCATAACACAAATAAAATTGAAGGAAGTAAGCAGTAAGTAACTGTGCTCTATGATTAGTTATAAGTTATAGAAAACCTTTAAAAATGTCATGTGTCAACAAATAAATGAATTAAATAATCTACATAGATGGAAATAAAACATTTTTTTTATTATTATGAAATGAAATAAGTGGTTCAACTGATATTAAGTGATAACCGCCTGTAGAGCTTTAATAATTAATAAATATGTTTTAAGCAGAAATAATGTTTGATTAAAGCAATTTTTTCTAAAATTTATCCACACATTTTAAACACAGAGGTTCATTTTGCAAAGAGTAGGTTTCACCTGTGGGAACTGAACAAATCCTATAAGATCGCAGCGTCAATACCATCTTGCCTCCGCCTCACATCTTAACGACGACCCAATTAATGAAGTAGATAGTAAGCCTATTACTTACGCCAGAGGGTCTGGGTTCGATCCCCACGACCGAAAACAATGTGAGATTTCAGGAATATGGGTGTTTTTTACCTAGTACCCATAGTACAAGCTACGTTTAATATGAAGATGTTAAAGTTAAAAATAGTCGTAATTCACAATCAATAAACTACCATTCATACAACTTCGAAAGCTTTTTTTATTTTGAATTACTTTTTTTCTAAAATCGGCAAGAATGCATTGTCAGATTTAAGTCTGCATATAGCATTTCAAAACGACATTTTAACAAATAGCACAAAATTTCATCGTGATGATTAGGTTTTTTTGATGTTTAAATGTATATAATATGTATCTACCTTGCTTTACGATGTCGTCATCGAAATATATAAAATCTCTCAATAAACAGTCTTGAAGTCGGTGAAAGTTACTTTGAATGACTCCCTTACATTTATAGATACATACATACAGATTAAACTAATAAAGGCGTATCAATAAAAACAGGTTAAATGTGTATCGTTTAAAAATCTCTTTATTTCCATTGTACGCGGTGCAATGTTACAGAATAATACAGAATTTCGTCGAAGGCTGCGCTCGCGATACATTGCATTTGGCTACAACCAACGCCCCTCTCGTACTTCTTTTTTCTGTTATGTTACTTGTTGGAAACAAGTAAAGAATCATTTTTTGTAAATAACGGTCCTGGGCAAATGTACATCGATGGTTCAGTTCGCACAACACCCGACGGCACTATGTTGTAAATGAATGTATAGAAGGAAACGAGAAAATCTGATCTTAATTAATATAGCTAAAGGCAAGTGGAATATTCGATGCACATCGAAACAGACTTACAAATTTAAATATGATAGCGTTATCTAACGCTATATATAGAGGATTTTCTGTGGACGTCAAATGTGAATGTGAAATTTTATTTAATTTGAAACGGCGATGGCGAACATTGGCCCGTCGACGAGTGCGCTAAGTTAACTTAATCTTGAATATTCAGCATTTTTCATAGTGCCTTTATGGCATATGCCCTTTCTCGCTAAAAACGAGAACCGAGGCCGGATAGCTCTAATGAAATTTACAAGAGCCCCAGAAAAGAGCTATCAATACTAAAAGCATTGATAACTTTAGGACTACCTTTGACACATTTTTTCTTGGATTACCTTTGCCTGAGCATTACGCTATGATGTGCAAACTGTATTACGGAATATATTAAGGAAATGCCCCAAAATTAAATTTGTATGTACAGAAATTAACATTTGTCGCTTTATTCGCTAACATTTTTAATTGTAGAGCTCTACATTCGAGTACATAAGCGGAATCGTTCTGGCCATTACTATCCTATCGATATTTATACAACACTCAACTCTACACGCGCGCAGCCTGTGCACGATACACCGTTAATAATACGATAGTAACAAATGCGGTAGTAATCAATGCAACAATACTTGCAAATGACGGGAACATTGATAAATGCGATTAACATGTCCGTTTACAAAATGGAAGAACAAAACAACTTAATGTCCATAATGAAACAGAAGACTTTACACAACAATAATTAAAGATAAAATATTTACAAATCTCCAACGTAACAATATAACTCTATAGTCTAGGATCTACGCGTCAACTAACATACATACACATACAACTAGCACTGTCCGTACATTCTGGCTTTGTGTCCAGTAAACGAGCCGTTTAGGTTATAACTTTGCAAAAGTGTCCCACTCGACGATACGAGTGAGGACTTTCTTATTGATTTTAACTAGGCACCTAAATCGTAGACCACAAACAAAGCCTTGACCGCAGTGAGTTTCTCTATACAATAATAAACTGTCAACTATAACAGCGGGAAGCTTCGAAAATCACCGGAAACGGTGCGGACAGATAAATAAAGCGCCTTATTTTGTACGTGTAGGGCCAAAAAAATAATCTCGGGGTACAGTACGGAATACACGAGACCGACTGTATTTAGATCTCTCTTCCACTATAAATACATAATGCGACCAGCATACGTCATCATTCTTTTTACATTAATGGACCAATAACTAATCCTATAGAGGTCGCTGGACCTCCGTTCGTACTCGCCTAGTCAATTGTAAATAGTTCATTAATGAGAACGAATTGTGACCGTCCCAAAGTACAATTAGGATATCTATACAGAATTATTATAATAAAATAACAACGAACCAAATTCTCGCGAACATTTTCGTCATAACGAAAATTTACGATAAAGATGAGCTTTTTCCGTTCGAATGTTAGTCCATTTATTTCCTTCAACGGAAGTAGCTCCGAAATCAAAACGAGAGAAACGATAATTTCATTGAACGACTTAGTGCCAAAATTCTCGTATTTTTCTCTACCCAATCACTGTTGCGTCGGCATTTATTAACGGCGTAATCGAAAATGACCCGACAAAAATTAAAAGACCGCCTCGTTTAATACAAAAAGCACGCGGTGGACTTGAATCATTAGTCGCTATCGACACGGTCGAGTCAACGCTTCGAGCGAATGACGCGAATCGCTTCTGGTCTCCGGCGTCTCGGAGACCGCAGACCGGGGACCGCAGACCGGAGACCGGGATCGAAGACCGGAGACGGCGTTCACTGCAAGCACGCCTGCAGCTTCTCGATCCACTCTTGGGCGGCACTCGCGTCGCTCGCGCAGAAGTTGTACGTTCGCCGACTCGTTCTCAACTGCAAATAACTCAATACTTACGGCCGATTTCAGAAACACTGATCATCGTAGATGTCAACTAATCAGCTGTCAAATAGTTTTTCAAATTTCATTTTAGTTGCCAAAAGGATGTTTAAACTCTTTGGATTGATCGTTCTGATCATTAGAAGATCAAGAGTTTAAACATCCTTTTGGCAACTAAAATGAAATTTGAAAACTATTTGACAGCTGATTAGTTGACATCTACGATGAAGAGTTTTTTTAGAAACCGGCCGTTAGTCTTCGAAAGGGTGGGTGTTTCGGCTTAAAACTGAACGTATTACGACGCAGTGTACGCTGATTGGTCCGTGTTTGTTAAGTCATATTTGCAACAACTGTCAAATTTGATATTCGAAACTTACCGCAACTGTGTTAGCCGTTAATCAAAATTATATGCTTAAAATCTGCGCAGGATCCATTCATTTTGCAAAATTATTAAGCGCTAACTATAAATAAAAGAAAGTTACATCAGATTACATTTCTAATTTGAGTCGAGTCGAGTCTGTTTGTTCGGTTTCTTTATACAAGTTTCGTGTGCTATTTGTTATTAGAAAAATTAAGGTGAACGCGATTTCTATATTTTCGCTAAATCTTTTTGTGTATTCCTTTTTCTGCTGGCGGTTCACCTGACGCTAAATGATTCCCGACGCCCATGGACATTTGCAACACCCATAGAGTTGCAGATGCGTTGCCATCTTTTAATAAAATGGGCCCCGGCCATCTCACTCACCGGACGAAGCACAGAAGTATAACACTTCCGCTTCACGCCGGTCTTCTGTGAGTGGTACTTCTCCGGACGGGCTTGCCCATTCGCGCAACAGGGCAACTATTGCGCTCCCACCACAGTTAACCACACTCCTTGGCATGACGCTGACTGAACTGGTTAAATACGTCTGCCTTTGAACAAAACAAAACCCAATCCCAATCGAGGAGGATCTGGTTCTCCTGGAGACCGGAGCGGAAGGCTACTCACGTCGAAGAAGGAGCGCTCGTCGCATTTCTTGGGGGGCCCGGGCGCTGGCGGCGCCTGCGACACCGCTATCACTTCGGCCAAATCTGAAGCAGATCGTTATTCTGTTAACTAAATGAGAAGATATACATAAAATAAGACTTATGGGTGTCCCCTACCGCGTTACTAAGACTACGATAACCTCTCAAAGATATTCTGAAAGTAAAAAGATTTTGATGTAAAATTTACCGCTGCGGGTCAGACCTAATTTTAGTGGAGTTCAAAAGTAATATTAGTTGCAAACCAGCCTGACGTGATATCTAGTATTTTATATGTTTGTTTTTTTGTCTCATCTTTCTTTTTAACTTTAAAAAATTGTGAAATGTCATCCGCAAACAAAACGATATGAGACCTATTTTCTACCACATATGGCAAATCTTTAACATGTTATAATTATTATGTAAATAGGCCCAGGATCGATCCCTGAGGAACACCAATTTGTACTTTTGACCCCGATGACAACATATATTTATTATTACTTGTGTTCCCTGTAGGTAAGATACGAGGAAACAAGGCCAATAGCAGATTTGCGAGAACCACAATATTCCAATTTCCTGATAGAACTGTATGATTTACACAGTCAAATGCTTTAGAAGGGATACAGAGTACATCAATAGTCTCATGGAAAGTTTCCCAAGACTGCAGGATATCCGAAATGAAATCTATTCCTGCATTAGTCCTACATCTATCTTTCATAAATCCAATTAAGATTTTATATTTACTAAAATGAACTATCATTTTTTCCCGAACAATCTTGCATGATAGAGTTGCATGATCTTGCACGGTAATAAAGGCATTTTCTCTTTAGCCTGATTTTTATACCGGCACAACTTTGCTATATTTAATTTGCTTTGGAAATTTGCTAAAGATAAACTAAACACGTATTAAATATTTGAATTAATAAACAGGATATAAATTTGTAGAAAAAATTGGGGGGTAGGGTATAAATATTATCATTTCGAAACAGAAGCGTCTCACCGATGAATCCTTTGCAATGCGAATCCTCCATCGCGTCGTAGTACCTCAACTGGTGCTTGATAGAGTCCAGCACGAACCACCTACAACAGAAGGCACCACTCACAACAAACTCATCTTCAAACAAAATAGTGTGAAGATTTAATATAAAGACTAATAAAAAGTCATCAAATGTTATCGGCATTTGAAATGTTCGCCGTTAAACGTGAAAAAACGTGATATTTTTTCAGCACAACGATAGTCGAATGTTGTTAATAATTTATTTCACCACTTTCTGAGTCTGTTTCAAACAACCTGCCGACAAGCTAGAGATATCAAACTTCGAACACAGCTCTTGATGACAAGGCTGAATTCGGTCTCCGTTCCTTGTCCATCACTTCTTTATGTTAGCTAAGGTAGTGCTAAAATATCCCCTGTCTGTCTTAATGAATAGTACCTGGAGGACCGTGTTTTTTTTTTGGTAAATGGTGTATTTTGGAAATTACATTTAGATACAAATTTGTGAGTAATGAAATATGCATAATATTTTTTGATCTTACCGACCTAATAATAAGAAAATATGAACTGGTGTTTTTCACAAAAAAAAGAACTTTAAAAAAAAGAGGAAAAAATTACAAAATCATATGGATCGACAGAAAATAAAAAATAAAGAAAGCAATGATCTGGAATCGAAAAACAAAGAAAAAGATAAGTGTGTAAATGATCGTGGGCCGCCCGATTACCGACCGAGTTATTATAACATTTTTTTTTCGGTGAAATTTACAGTCTTATTCGAATGATATTTTTCATTCCCTGAAAACAGGGATAAAATAACAGAATAGCCAGATCGATTTTTCGCCCCCGAATTCTACGCACATACTAAATTTCATGAAAATCGCTGGAGCCGTTTCCGATTTTCGTTTAAAGGTATAAGATTTAAGCGACCTAGTGTTCAGAGACGGTTCTTAAGGATTCCGAACGTACACTTTATTGGACCCGGTGGGGGCAACACGAAGGCGTCACGCGCGAAGGCAAAGGTCACTGGAGAAGTTTATCCTTTCTGAAGCAGCATCGGTGCCTATTAAAGTATTGAGGGTAGTTCCCGAACGAATTTAGTGACGATTTTAGAAAAAACAATATAGTCCTGTTGTTGCCTTAAAAAGCGTTCCGATGCGTGTTCTTTTAATCATCACTACATAGTCTAAAACAAAGTCGTGCCGCTGTCTGTCTGTCCGTATGTAAGCTTAGATCTTTAAAAGTACACAACGGATCTTGATGCGGTTTTTTTACTAGATAGTGATTCAAGAGGAAGGTTTATATGTATAATACATTGCACCCGTGCGAAGCTGGGGTGGGTTGCTAGTTGTTAATATAATTGTATTTGTTGAAACTGAATAAATATTCATTCATTCATTCATTCATTCATACTTAATTGACGTCAACTTGTTGAATTACGTACCGCTGCTTCCAGCCCTTGAGCAGGGCGCCCCGCTTGTACAGGTGGCCCTCGTGGGTTCGATTCTCGGCCACGTTGGACGAGAACTGCTCGTAGTACTGCTGCGACGAAGACTGCAGTGTCGCGACACCTGGACACACACATACGGTCGGACGGTTTGCTAACGGGAAGTACATATAGCAAAATAAATATGTAAGCATTACACATTATTAAATTGAAATGTTTTACGGATTTCACCTAATATTTAATTTAAACTTTTTCAAATCAGTTCACAATTGAAGGTATTCTGAGGCAAAAAATATAAAAAGTAAAAATCACATAACCGTGTAAATGCTCCTTTTACTTTTTCAAGTACGAAAGTGAGAGTGAGAAGTAATAAAGTGAGAATGAGAGAGGGAAGTACGAGAGGGTGAGAGAGAAGTAAAATCTTGTATCTTGTACTAACTGATGTTTTTGCTTTCAGTCCCGAGACTATTAAAGCTTCATCTGACGCAGAACCGGTGGGCTAGCCAGAACCCACGGGTTTGGGTGAGAAGTAAACTGAGAGCTTTCTCTGTACGAGGGAGAAAAGTAGGAGAAGGAAAGAGAAGTATTCGGGAGGGAGAGGGAGAGGGGCGTACGCACTGTTGGAGACGTTGGTGCGGTGGTCGCGGTCGCGGTCGGGCGGCGGCGCCTTGTACTTGGTGCAGGGCAGCGCGAACGGCTCCGCGCAGCGCTCGTGGCACGCCGCGCCGCAGTCCACGCACCGCACGCCCGTCTGCCACACAAGCCACACTTGTCACACTTGCCACACGTGCCGCCTTACCACCCGCGCCGCTCGTGGCAGCGGTTGCGATTCCACTTCCGCCCGAATTTACATCGGAGACAGTTTCCCCAAGACCGGTGTTGCGGACATTTCGTCGAAGCATTCTATTTTGACTCGTACATATATATTATTTAATGGGTAACCATTTTGCATACAGGTAAACAGAATGTCTCATCTGTAAGTGATCACCTGTATCATCCTCTTTTAATTCAGATATCGTGGCATGCGCTTAAAAAAACGGAGCAAATTATATTTTTGCGTTTCGTCTAGTGACCGATGTACCGGAGGGCCTCGCCCTTCAAAGTGGAGAAAACAATTGAAATTACACACTACTCATTTGGGATGTCTGCATAAGAGGTCCCTTGACAGTGAAAACCATCCACAGCTACGCACCTCGAGGGGGCCCCACAGGAGGTCCGCGCAGTGGTCGCAGCGCGCGGGCGCGGCGGCGGCGGCGGGCGCCCAGCGGTGGGCGGGCGCGGCGTGGGCGGCGTGGGCGGCGTGGGGCGCGTGGGGCGCCGCCGCCAGCCCGCGCACCAGCACCTCCAGCGTGCTGCGCCGGTGCGCGGCCGCCGTCGCGCGCCGCACCACGCCGCTGCACATTGACGCGTTGCGCTGTGAACGCACACACGCCCCTTTTATACACAGATGCACGCACACATGCACTTTATATATGCAAATACAAACAGCCCGCCTGATCCCGCTTCGCATGCGGAGGCCAAACTTGTACTCAATTACTGAAATTCGTTTTATGGGGTGTCTCGGACGTGAAAAAGGAGAAGAAGAAGGAGATAAGAGATGAGAGGAAGAGTTTATAACCTGCATCTGAATAAGATCTTACTATCTGCAAATCAAGCGTCGCGGACATCAAAAAGGAGAAGAAGGTAAGATGAGAGGAAAGTCTTATTAATTGTATCTTGAGCGTTTTGAAACATCAAAAATGACATGAAAGGAAGATCTTATTCGAGCCTCTTAAACATGAAAAACTTTTTCATGTCTGACACGCTCTATTAGAGCGTCAGAAAAACAAGAAGAACATGAGATGAAAGTAAGGTGATTTTCAACTACAACTAAAGCGTGTTGATCATCTAAAAGAAGTAAAGATGAGAGTAATGTCTTATCACCTGCAGCTCCAGCGTGTTGGGCAGTTCGAGCTGGTCCCAGCGCACGCGCCACTTCTGCGGCAGGTGGCCCAGCTCCAGCTCCAGCTGTCTGATGCGCTCCAGCAGCCCGCTGAACGCGTCGGGCATGCTGCGCGCTATGCTGTCGTACCTTCGGGGAAAATCGCTCGAGTTCACCCTTTATGCACCGTTGCTTAGCCCAGTTAAATGAGAACGGCTCTCGAATCTAATTGGAAGCTCGAAACGCGAACTAGAAACATTTAAATGCTTCGCGTGCAATCAAAACCCTGTGATTTACCGAATAAATTACGGATCGAAGTTAATTATTTACCTGGTTTGAGGATTTTTAGTTTTAAAAAAAACTTTTTAAATTTCATGTTTTTACAAAAAAAAATGTAGTGCAAAATTTTATACACACAATACTTTAGATATGGGTCTCATCAGTTTTTAAAATTTTGCCAAACAGCTGAGACAAATTATAATTTTTGCGTTGTTCCATTATTTCACATATTAGCATTAAATCATTTCTGTTTCTGCCATTGTTTCTCTGTTCTACGTCGTCGTTTTCACACAGATAGAGAATGACTCCATTTGATCATCCCTCTATTTGTTTTCCTCATTATACGTGACGGTTTTCCGAAAAGTGGTGAGTGGCCATATATGTCAGAGGAGTCGAGGAGAAGAGAAGAGAAGAGAACCATTTATGTCAGAGAAGAGGAGAGAAGGAGAGGAGAGGAGAGGAGGTGAGAAGAAGCGGCTCACCCGGCGGTGACGACCCTGCGCGCCGCCTTTGGCTCCGGCTCCTGTGGCAGCAGCTCCAGGTCGTAGGGCGTTCCGTGGGACAGCTCCTCACTCACGTAGTACTCCCACACCTCCAGGCAGTTGATCGCCGACACCGGCCGCAGCACCTGCAACGGCCGACGATGCAATCACATCTTCCACAGGGTCTTTTTATGTCAAGAGTTCATGTCCGCCTGATATGGACATGTACAACATGTTGCAGGTTGCAGATGTCTCGCCAATTAATCAAAAGTGCGATTTATTTTTATTTTTTTTATGAACCCCGATTAGCTCATTCAAACCCGGCTTCTGTGTGGCCGTGGTACTCCGCCGAACGAGTCTGCTGATTTGTGAAAAGCATAAACTCCTGCGTGGCACTACCATATTGTAACATGCTACGAACATACTCCTCGCATAATGTTTCTTAATTTTGTGCTAGAATCAATGGGTGAAGAGCCAGCTCTTCTTCTTCTTTCTTTATTTGAGATGTATAGCCTATCCTCGGCCCCCCCTTGCACCGCTTTCCTTCTGTCATGTTATTAACGTGCCTCACCGGATTGTCCAAGTCCGGCGTGTAGAGGAAGTTGTAGAAGATGGGCACTCGCTGATGCAGCCGGTCTGCGTAGTCGAAGAGGGACACGCCGTGGGCGGCCGCCCTGCCGCCGGACTCCTCCTCGCTGGCGCCCGTCTCCACCCCCTGCAGAGGATTTATTATGAGTGAACATATCTTTATGCATGAACAACGATTCCTTATAGCCAACTGATTGAGATAGCGTATGTAGTTGTAGGCGACTAAATAAGGTGACTCTTACTCTCTCTTAACTGCATTAACAACTTTATTGTCTTTGAACTATAGATATGATTACTGTCGTAATTGGTTAGAATAACAACACTTATATTTCGAATTTGCGTGCCATTACTAGGAACTAGCCTAGCTTGAAGCATGAGCGTTCCGTAGAAAAAAAAGCGTTACTAGGCGGCTAGTACAAAAGGGGGTAAGCAGGGGGCCAAATAGTAAAGAAGGGAGTTACCAGGGGGTCGAATAGTAAAAAAGGGGGTCTCGAGGTGGCTGGGTAGTAAAGAAGTGTTTTGCCAGACGGTCGAATAGTGAAGAAGTGGTAAGTAAGGAGGGGCCTCACCAGGCGGCTGGAGTCCGGGCGGCGCTCGTCGGCCGCGGCGAGGCCGAGCTCCGCGCGCTGCGCCTCGCTGTCGAAGAGGAAGCTGCGGAAGCGGCACGACACGCTGTGGTGCGCCACGAACCGCAGGTAGTACTCGTTGAACTCGAACGCCAGCGGGAACTGCTTCACCAGCTGCCCACGGAGCGAACGATTGAGCGGAGCGACGGCATATACATGTCCCAGTTGGGCACAGGCCCTACTTCACATATATCATTTTTAATTACCGTTACGAAAGCATGCAGGCTACCTTCACCGCTGAGCACGTGATAAGTCAGCACTTAACAATGCAGTCATCTATGCCGGCACTAAGATTTGAACTCAGTTCATATACTCTATATTGAACTAAAAGTGTGCACCCGGAAAATAAGCTATCACGGCGAACATTAAACGAGTGTAAATATGGTAAGGGACAATCGTCAAGTATGCTAGTAGCCTCGTTACCATGAAACGCGGGAAAATAAACATAAAATTTGTAGGTAGAACTGTCAGAATTCTAATGTGCAAACGCACTTTCTCAAACGACATTTTTACAAAGAATATATGAAAACTAGCGATGTCACTTTTGCTGTTGGAATATAATTTTTAGCTTTAGAAAAAGTCTGATTATAAGTTGCGTTGAGCATTTGTCCAGGGCCAAGAACAGCTCGTCACCTGGTGGACGGCGTCGAGGAACATGAGGAAGGTGGGCGTGAAGCCGTGCTGCGGCGCCGCGGCGAGGTTGCAGCGCTGCTGGAACTTGTGCCCCAGCGCCAGCCACTCCTTCTCCACCAGGATGCGGAACCCGTCCAGCGTGCGGTAGTACGGCTCCAGGCACATCTGCGCCAGCGACGAGATCTGGAACCGGGGAAGACCACTCGTCAACGAGATGACTCGGCTCGGGTAACCTTGATCTTGAATCACATATTTTTCAACGAAAAATTCATAAAAACTATTCATTTTTAGAATAAGAAGACCACACAGTATTATACAGTACAATAAATCCGTATAGTACAATAAAGCCTTATACAGAAAAGTGGCTGGTCCGGGGAAGTAACATGACCGGATAGAAGTGGAAGTATTAATACATTTGCTGATAATCTTCAACATCAAAGGTGTTGTAGATGTCCATGGGTGGCGGAATTTTCCACTTCCCCACAAAAAAAAAACATTAATTCATATGAAACGCAACAACTACAGAAAACAAAAGCCTTTTCTCACACTCAGGGCTGTCGGACGAATTTTAACCATAGACAATATTATTGAATTTTCCACTTCCCCACAAAAAGAAACATTAATTCACATGAATTCATATGAAACGCAACAACTACAGAAAACAAAAGCCTTTTCTCACACTCAGGGCTGTCGGACGAATTTTAACCATAGACAATAATATTGAAGATAAGCAATACAAAGTTATTAAATAAGATTATTTGATTTAATTACTGTTGCACTGTAATATGTATAACCCATTACGCTATTTTTGCTATGTTATCTATGGGTACGAATAACGCATTAAGTTATTTTTGGAAGCTTGCCAAAGAAAGGTTTCCTTAGCTGGCTTCAAAAGAATAAAGCTCGTGGTCTTTAATACCTGCGCGGTGACATCCCAGCCGTCTTCCAGCGACAGCAGCACGGAGGAGCCCTGGAGGTCCAACAGGTCCACCACCGCTCCGGAGAGCTGGAACAGCTGCCGCAATTGCCACAGCCACCCGGACTCCTCAACAAGCCTGGAATCATTACGTAGACTTGGCGAGGAGTATTTTTGGTTTAAAGAAGAAAAACATTAACTTTTTTTTTGGAAAAGGTCGCACATGATGATGGTTCTCTTATCTAATGGTGCGCTCATGGCCAACCCTTAAAACAGTTGGCCAACTGTTTTAAGGTCCTGAGTTTCTTGCAATAGGAAGTTGCTCAGGCTCAAGAAAGAAACTCAGGTGACAAAATGATTGAAATCTACCATTTGAACAAAAAAATTATATATTGGCTATTGCGGGGCCCTACCACATATTATTATCGGTACGCGCGTCCGGGGAAGTAACACAGCCTCACCGAAGACTGGCGTGAAGTGGAAGGTTATGTTTTCACGTTTCGTCTGGTGAGTGAGGTAAACGTCATAGAAACGTAAGGTAAACCCATACTTGGTGTATGTATATATGTTAACGCCAGCATGGTGACCAGGAAGTCAAGTGAATTATTGCAAGAGCAGTATTGAATAAAGTGTAGAACGTGCGGTTGCACAAGTGGCCACCTGTGGAAGCCGGGGTGGTCGTGCGCCGGCGGGGCGGAGGGCGCGGCGGCGCGCAGCAGCTTCTTGAACGCGTGCTTGGTGGCGCGCGCGTCCGGGTACTCCACGGGCACCACCTGCGCCTCGCCCCCGCCGCCGCCGCCCGCCGCGCCCACGCCCGCCCCCGCCCCCGCCGCCGCGCCCTTCTCCGCCAGCACGTACAGCGCCGCGCGCCGCGCGCCCCCGCCGCCGCCGCCCACGCTGCCGCCCCCGCCCTCGCCGCACACTGCGCGGCAGCGGACGAGTTTCACGTTACTACTGGTGCACAATCTCCATAGCCCGTCTCAATGATAGCTAGAAGTGGTCCGCCACTCTAATCGAAACAGTCGAACAAACATTTTTATTATTATTCTTTTCTAGCTTTAATTTCTCTTACAACATGATATGCAGTGCCTGGGAACATTTACTTTTCTTGAATATCGCTTAAAGTCATAATCAACAATCAGATTTGTCCGAAACCAATATTTAAATTCAAATAAGTTAAGAGATGAATTTTGTTGCGAATGCCAAAACACTGAAATCTTTTAACCACTATACTCCGAGATAGATATCAAGCCTTGTCGCCTTGCTTAACATAAACGACTAGGCTAATACCGACAACCTCACTGCAGGAATGCAAATAAGTATTTATATGATGACATCTGTAAGTGAACGATCAAAGTGGATTCACGTCGCAGTCGCGCCTCACCCGAGTCCAGGTCGGCGGTGGAGAGGCGCTGGCGCGGCGCGTAGAGCTCCAGGTGCGAGGGCTGGCGGCGCTCCTTCAGGGAGCCCCAGCGCCCGAAGTGGCGCGCCGCTGGGCCGGAGGCGCCGCCCTTGCCGCCGCTGCTGCGCCCCAGCGCCCTGGCATACGCGCACAGATACAGCGGATGGGGGAGAGGGGTCGTCGATGTTCGACGGGGTTCGACTGACACTAACAGCTTGCAATTAATTATGTACGGGACTTTTTAGGATTTACACTGTGAGAACTTTGAAAATGTAAACTAAGATACGCCATGATAAAATTTGATGGTAACGGCAAAATTCTCAACACTACATATATGATGTGATTGCGCGCGGCTGCCACAATCACCTGGTTAACCGCATCCCTATGTCTTATGTATTATAAGTGAATAGCTAATGGCACTGTTTTCAGCAGTTCGAAACTGTTGCAACTGTTTGCAGCACTACCCACTATAAATTATAGTGATGCGACTAATTCACACTACTTGTAACACTAACTTTTCAGACAGACAGGTAATAACTAATCAAAATTCGTGCAGACCCGGGACTTTTCGAACAAAATTCACCATTCCACGAGGCCACAATTAATTCCGATAAAGTCACTATTCTTTGCCCCAATGAGTTCCGAACTTAAGAAATCCGAAAAATAGGAAAGTAGCTTCAAACCGCTCACCCATCATCAGGCCACTGTGCCATCGATATGTATACCATAAAAACTTTCTGCGAATGTGTGCGCATGAAAACATTATGTGGAAAGACCGTTGGGTTTCATAGTGAAGACGTTTCACTTCGCACGTGTGCCTGTTAGAACACAAACTCGCGCTTACACACGTGTGTCTGTACACACGAGTGTACGTTTACATGAGTGTATATACCCGCGAATGTACGTGCACACTAGTGTACACGTGTGTCAAGAACAGCGGATTCCCTCACCCCAGGGTGCCGGCCGCTTTGCTGAGCAGCGGCGTGTGGTGGGGCTCGTCGGGCAGAAGGAGAGACTCCAGGCTCAAGGAGGCCTCCTCCAGCTCGCCGCGCCCGTACGGGGTGCACGCTATCAACGCGGCAAGGTACCGCTCCTGCCAATCAAAAATCATCACCGTCATTTCGGCCTGTTTGTGCCCACGGCCGATCATAGACCCTCACCCTCACCCTCAACAGACTGCCAGGATAGTTTAGGACGATCCCCCACAAGATGGATTGACGACAATGGATGCAGTTGTCTCAGGATCGTTATCCATTTACTTTTTTTTTTTCTAATGCATGGGTATTAGGTATTTACAAAAGTAATACCTATGTATTTAAACTTACTATTTATTTGACTAACATTGATATATGGTGGGTAATTGAGATGAACAACACCAACTCCAATATAAACAAGAGAAATACCTGTTCTAAACTAGAGGTGGGCTCCGTGCCACTTTGCGTGGTTCCAGGCGTCTGATGGCTGGATCCCTTCAGCATTCCCATAACGCCTTTATGGTGCGATGCACCTGATCTGAAATATCCATAGAAATAAATAAAATTATCCTCATACGATCAACTTTAAACCTCGCTTTTTTGCGTGGTAATTAATTAAATAGTTATTAAGAGACGGCTTTTATTTTTATCCTCTAAAGAGAAAGAGAGAGCGGAGGAGACAGAGAGGGGGGAGATAGAGGGAGTGAGATATTCAGTTTAAGAGAATGTAGGATTCGAACCTGGCGAGGAGTGCGTGAGTGCGGGGGTGCCTCCACGTGAGGACTGGCAGCCGACCCTGGCGGTAGCAGCGGGCCACTCTGCGCAATGACTCGTCGCCCACGGACGCTGGAACCGCCAGCACACCGGGATAGCTGAGAGTGGGAACAAAAGAAGCTAAAAGACAAGGGAGTAACCAGAGAATACTGCAGAGTTCTCGTGAGGAGGAATTTAGGTTAAACGTGTACATGTCGTAGAGTTATATAATAGTATTCGCTTTTGCAAGAATGGGCAGGTCCGTCCGGGAAAATCCGACAGAATACTGGCGTAAGTGGAAGTGTAATACATTTTCAACCCTACGGATTACAAATGTTCATGGATTGCGGTTATCACTTAACATTAGGTGAATTTTAAACAAAAAAATGTCCGAGTGTGCTAAATTGACGGGCAAGTCAAAACGGGCAATTGAAACGACAGGAATGTCGCTGCGCAGTCCTGCTATAGCGAATTTTGCTTTAAACCATCCCCTTCCACTTCTGTGAGGTCGTAATAATACCCGGGTCAGGACAGTTCATTTGAATACCAGGAGAATTGAAACAAAATTGAAGGTGAAAAAGTGGCGAACTAATTGACGCTATCGAACGTGCTTTTTGTAATAGTTTTAGTTATTTTCATTATGTTTGTCGTCGATGCATATATTGATGTTAAATTTGCTGTCGTAATATTCGTCGTGATAGTAGTTGTCGTTGTAGGTTTTGTTTTTCTGGTTGTAATCGTTATAGTAGTTACCGTGGTAGTCGGCAGTTAACATCTTTGTGTTTGTTCCCATGACAACCGCTGTTGATATACACCCGGTTCCTATATTCAACGAACGGCCGTTAGTTGCATAGCTCCGTAACTTTCATAACGACTTGTAGATAAAAGGCGTGTACGCCCGGTTCCTATATTATTAAAACGAGGCGTTGCATTACCTACGAAAAGTGAGTTGCTAGCGTTCCTTTAATCAACAAGTCGTTACGAATATAAGAGTTCTAATGTTATTACTATCATTGTAAAATTTTAATCATTTCTGAACTTGAATATTAACAACTATTCTAACGACAAGCAGCACTAGTTATATCAACGTCCGGGGACGCGGCCGAAAACTTACGGTGGTAGGGCCACGCAGCAGCCTCGGCTGTTGCACGAACGGGCAGGCCCGTCCGGGTAAGTACCACGACCTCGTAGAAGACCAGCGTAAAGTGGAGGTGTAACAAATACTTTCGCGTTTCGTCTGATGAGTGAGGTAGCCGGAACCCAATTTTCAAAAGGTTGTTAACGTATCTGTAACCCTCGGATGTGGCAGATGTCCATGGGCGGCGGGTATATAATATTCACTTAACATCAGGTGACCCGTCTGCTCGTTTGGCAACTTTTCGCATAAAAAAAAAAAGAAAAAAAAGCACGTGACCGCTGCTCCTTGCGACCGTGTGTCGCTTCGCTCGAGTAGACGACGTCATATCCGGTATACAGTGTTGCCAGCGCCAACATCCGAGCAACGGGCGTGCGTTGAAGTGCGTTTGAGTGGCGGCGCACCTGCGGCACAGCGTGTAGACGGCGTTGGCGTGCGTGAGCCGGAAGGGGGCGGCGGCCAGGCCGAGGCGCGCCCAGTCGCGCGCGTACGGCCGCTCGCGCACGCGCTCCAAAGTGCGCGCCGCGGGCGCCTCCGCCCCCTCCGCCGCGCCCAGCTCCAGCTCCTCCACTGGACGGCGCAAATGAACATGACAACCACAGTCGCAACGATTATTCCGAATTTAGTTTAATTGTAAGTAAGTCAAATGATCGTAAAACATAAATTGACCATTTCCAATAAATTTATAAAGCGTCAGCGAGGAACTTCACTACATCACCGAACGAGCCGCCACCGCCCAGCCGTCTAAGAAGCAAGCACACAGACACACGTACACGCACATATAAGAAGCGATAAGCGTGTCGACACTCACACGACAGTGTAAGCGTCAGCGAGTAATCTTACGACGTTATCAAACGAAGTACGCACACACACGCGCGTGCGCGCGCGCTCACTAACGAAACGATAAACGAGTCGCCGTACACTCACACAACACCAAGGAAGCTGATGATGTCATCAAAACGCACGTACACATACGCACACGTGAGAAGCGTAAAGCGAGCGGACGTACACTCACACGACAGCGTGTCCGCGGAGAGCGAGGACATGAGCGGCGGGGAGGTGAGCGAGCGCGCGTCGGCCGACGGCAGCACGTACTTCTGCCGCTTGGACGGCTTCGGCTTCAGGCCGGCGCGGCGCGCCGTCTTCAGCAGCGTCTTCTTCGCGAAGCCCCTGAAGGGAGTTAGAGAAGGCAGTAGAAATGGATTATTCTCTCAAGAGCCACCTCTACTAAGAGTCATTGGTTCGTTAATTACTTTTCAGTTGTGACAAGATGAGCCATTGCTTTGAAATATGCGAGGAATCTCGTTTCGCTTCGTTCAATTCATATAAAAAAAAACCTTTAAAGCACATTTAGATCTATTGAAATATGATGCTACCGTCATATACAGAACTTAATAACCTGATAACTTCTGGTAACAACTCTAGAAACTCTAAGCAATGTGTTGTATAGGTAAAAAAAAAAATTTTTAAAAACCGAGGATGTCTTGTTGGAGCAACGCTTAAGAGAATAGCTTTTGGCTACCTCATTCAAAACCGGAATAAAGGCATAAGCATACTTGTTTACGCCGGTCGTGGTGACAGATGACGGAATGGATAAATGCTTACACGAAATGAGTTGTTAATGATACAATTTAGGGGCCTTCAAGAAGGGAGCGTATTCCCCTTCAAAGGCCGGCAACGCAGTTATGATTCTCCTGTCCGTGGGCAGAAATGATCAACTACCACGAAAAGCGCACATCGGACGCCTATTGTGAACGAATGGTCGAACGACGGGCGAATGGTGAACGAATGAACGAATGAAGGAATGAACGAATGCAGGAATGAAGGGGCGGGCGCTGACTTGAGCGTGTGGTGCTTGGCGGCGTGGAGCGCGGGCGGCGGGGCGGGGCGCGGCGCGAGCGCGAAGTGATGCGCGGCGGAGGGCGGGTGCCGCAGCCGCGCCACCTGCTTGCGGAACGCCTCCGCCTGCTCGCCGCTCACCTCCTCGTCCAGCACCACCTGCGGAACAGGGCTACGGGTATCACTTCCACAACCCTTGCAGAATCAAGGAATCATCAGAATCCACTGCTGGACATAGGTCTCTCCCACAGATCGCTCGGAAGTACGTAGTACTTTCCCCACATTTGCTATAACAACTGGCCACATCGAAGAATACACTACAATACCGCCGACTATATTATTATCATACGCTTCTAGTACATAAGATCATTTCCACTTATGTTTTTCAAATAAAGAGTTCTTTCAATGAGGTTTCAGTAAAATGTAGGAATATTGAAGCTACAGATAGATTGGATGAAAATAACTTATATTGAATGTTTCAGTAGTACAATAGAGCAAAATAAATAAAATTTACACTAAACATTTTTTTGAAGAGAAAATTACAAAAGAAAAAAAATGAAACCTAATGCTATTTCTTACAAGTTATGTGACCTAAGTAAAACCCACCGCTGTCCATAGTAATCTGGCGCCCGAGAAGGAACTCGAATGCATTGTCGATCCTTGAAAGAGCGGGGACACCTCACTCATCGAATCGCAAAAATATAAACAGCCACGATATAGAGACCTTGATCAGTTGGAATGTTGCGGCGCGCAGTTGCAGCCCGTCGGAGAGGGGCTCCAGCTGGGGCCCGTGCGCCCTCACCGCCTTCTCCCTGGTCAGCGCGCATAGCGGAAACGAACGGACAACCGTCTGTTCGCATGCTGCAACAAACCAAATGTTATATCATTGATGTCTACACTTAATACGGAACTTTAAATGTGTGGATGGATAAATTCCCAAAAAACTTTTCGCCACTACTAGGATTAGAACTTACGCCTTCCGGATAACGCGCCTAGACGCTCTAGCCACTGAGCCAAGCGCTCAATATTTCCACAGCGGGAAAATCTCATCGTGTCATTTGCTTTGTTTTTACGACACTTTTAGCAATGGTTCAAATCAACAAAAATTTTTCGACAGTTTTATCTACATAATTTCAATATTAAACTTCATGCCCAGATTTCAAAAGGTTGTCAACGTATCTGCAGTCCTCGGGTGTAGCAGATGTCTATGGGCGGCGGTATTCACTTAACATCTGGTGAACCGTCTGCTGGCTTGACAACTTTTCGCATAAAAAAAAAACAAACTCATTAAAAAACCGGTCAAGTGTGAGTCGGACTTGCGCACGAAGGGTTCCATTATCCATAAAAATGGAACCCTTTTAAATATTTTTTTTAGTATTTGTTGTTATAGCGGCAACAGAAATACATCATCTGCGAAAATTTCAACTGTCCAACTATCACGGTTCATACATAAAGATACAGCCTGCTGACGGACAGACGGACGGACAGACAGACAGACAGCGGAGTCTTATCAAAAGGATCCCGTTTTGTCCTTTGGGTACGGAAGCCTAAAAATGTACCCGTAACGGCTAGGCCGCCGGCAGACTCACCGAAGGGGTCGATGGGCGTGCCCTTGAAGACGAGCCGGTAGTTGGTGAGGAAGAGCGCGCCCTCCGCCGGCAGCAGCGGCGACGAGCGGCCGTCGGCCACCAGCACGGCGCGCAGGGCCGGCGCCGCGCCCGCCTCGCCCGCCACCATCGCCGGCGCCACGATGCGCGCCTGAACGCCCATAGCACGGTCACACGAAAATAGACCCTACGCTGTACGACATAAGGTCCGCTCGCGTCGAACGAGAGCGTGTATAGAAGGTGCATTCTCGGTTGCGGTTAAAACCCAACCTTATCAAAAGTTCAAGGTGCATTCTCGATTGCTATTACAAACCTACAACAAGAGTTCACTCACCGCCACAATGTGCGCCTAAGGGCATGGCACGGTTAGACGAAAATAGACCCTACAGTGTAAGACATAAGTTTCGCTCGCTTCGAACGAGAGCGTGTCTATAAGGTGCATTCTCGGTTGCGGTTACAACCCTATATAAGAAAGTTCATTCACCGCCACGATGCGCGCCTGACGGCATCACACGGGTAGACGAAAATTGACCCTACGGTGCACGACATAAGGTTCGCTCGCGTCGAACGACAGCGTATCTATAAGGTGCGTTATTGATTGCGGTAACAACCCTACATCAGAAAGTTCATAGTTAAAACCCAAAATGTGAAAGTTCCGGCAGCCTAAACATTGGAAATAAACAAAATGGGAATATGAATTTTAGTCATCCTCACGTAGCAAAAACAAATAAAACCTCTATGCGAGAAAATAAGATGTATAACGGTTTGAACATTACAAAATACAACTAACCTAATCTTTTTCTTTCTTTATTTATTTTTTACAAACATTGCCCTTACTTTATGATAACATTATCCTATGATAACATTATCCTTATTTACATTAATATGAAATTAATCAACTTTTTTATAAGTACCTTACTCTTTTCGAGGTATATTATAGTACCTTTTGAACGGGCGGCAAGCGTCTGCTTTCCCTGGCAACCGCATCTAGCGTCTCCAAATGCATGTGTACCACTCCAGGGATCATTTGATGCAGGCATCGTACGTGTTCCGCTGTCACTCCACCTTCGGTGCAAACCTAGAATTGAAAAGAAATGACATTATTAAAAGAACGCTCATGACTCTGTGGCGCCGTTGCTAAGCTACTGGCTTCGGCATCGGGGGTCGTGGGTTCGATTCCCACACGCGACATGTAATTGTGTGGCACACAGATAATTGTTCCGGACCTGGGTGTTTGTATTCCAATGAGGGTTGACGCCAGGCAGGCGGCCGGTTGTATGAAACATAGCCAAAAATGATTCACATGTTGTGCCGACCCAACCTAGGTAGAGGTAAGGACAGGACATCCTATCTATCTTTATACCGAAATTATTTTTATTTTATGCGAAAAGTTGTCAAACGAGCAGACGGTTCACCTGATCTTAAGTGAATACCGCCACCCATGGACATCTGCTACACCCGAGGGTTACAGATGTGTTGACAACCTTTTGAAGTTTGGGCTCCGGCTACCTCACTCACCAGACGAAACGCAAAAGTATTTGTCATACTTCCACTTGACGCCGGTCTTCTGTGAGGCCGTGGTACTTACCCGGACGGGCCTGCCCATTCATGCAACAGCCGAGGCAGCTGCGTGGCCCTACCACCGTCCATCATCACCAATTCATCTAAATTTCTTCTACGGTTTAGACGTGAAAGCGTAACAGACTGACAGAGTTACTTTGAGAGACACTTGTATCAGTATAATTTATCGCCTTTGGGTTGTTCTGGTGTATAAGCTATATTATTGTAAAGTTTCATCAAAATCCAATCAGTATTTTTGCGTGATAGAGTAAAAATCATCGATACATACAAACTTTCGCGTTTTTATTATAAGTTCGGATCTAGAATCTTTCACCTTGTCAACGAATCTGGAGACCATCTTGATGACATTGTTTCCAGCCTCGCCGGGGTCCGCCTCTTCAAAACCAGACTCTGCATCCGCACTATCTGATTCTGCTACACTGTAAACCGGTACAAGTAAGAGTGTAAGTACGATATTAAACATATGAGCAATGTCAGTCTTTTAAACTGTTTTAATTTTTTCAGTCAACCAAAAAATTATAAAAAATTATGCCACTTCGTAAATTGAGACATAGAACAGCGGGGGTTTCACAAGGCTAAATACTTGGGCCACTATTATATCACAATATTCCATTTTTAAAATACAAACGTCAGCTCCTTTAATCCCAAAGCGAGTAGGCAATTCCTGCACGTGACCGATGATGAACATTCGTTATATACTATGACAGAAACGCCTTTTTTATTTGAAAAAAACAAGTAATACCTATTCGTAATACTGTTACTAGCTCTGTCTGCGTCGTCCCCTCTCGCATCCGCTCTTCTCCCAGCGCCCTCTAGTGGCAGTAATAGGTACACCATTCGATTTGCATAGTGGATGGCCTGGCTGTAGAGTGTCGATTCCTCGCTCGCTATAATTTCCCGTTGTTTTTCTGAAACAAAGGAATTCGCAAGATGAGCGCTAAACATTTTTTTTTCATACGACATGTTTAATGAATAAATAGACCTCGATTTCAATAACAGATTTTTTAAAAAACATTTACATATTTTCATACAAATACAAAAAAATTATCAATAAAACATTTGCTATTAGCCTGTGATTTCTGTATGTTAATTTTTCTGTTTATGACAATGAAATTCCCCTAGGAAGTGATCGATTTTTTGTTTAGTGGAAATCGTCCATAGATAAGCCCCAGTTTATCTTAAAAGCGCCACCTATTTGAAAATCAGAAAACGACTACCGGGTTAGCTTGGAGTTAAGTAATATTGATTTATTCACCTTGTGGTAATGTGGGCCACAGCCGCATCTGCTCTGCTGCTATTTCTAATGCACTCGGCTCTTGCGCCTTTAACAATGATATGTATTCTTCGTCCTCCCTGTAACATAAATTGTATGTTTTAATCGGTTGCGGAGAACAAATATCCATTTGGATCAATCAAACTTAGTACTTAAAAAGTTTGCCGAGAACAAGAAAAACGAAAAAAGAACAAGAAATCGAGAATCAATATGAACATGCCTTAGGTCAAATGAATGAATACTTTAATGTACACTACAATTGACTAATGAGTAATGAACACAAACAACAAGTAACCCGCACGATAAATAACTTCTATTAAAGTAATAAATACCTTGGACTTGGTACCCTTGCATGATGAGTGGGACTCGGTAAGTATAAAGCTTTAATATCCCTCTGCACATCCTGATAAAACGCAGCCTCCCAAAACTGCTGACTTGTCCACACTTGATGCTCCTACAGGTAACCATTTATCATTGGTAAAATAAGCTACAAATAAAAATGGGCTAAATAGAGTAAGGTGAAGGCAGGTAACAAAATACATTGTTATGTTAAATATGCTATTGAAGGAACTACCTATATTAAGATATACGGACATAAATATGCACCCTTAGGGACCCCACCTGTATGCACATATATGCGTACTGAATGACGCCGGTGCAGAGCTTCCTGCAGTAAGCCGTGGCGAGTGGTAGCATTGCTGCCGCTATCGAGTGCTCGTCTAACGCCGTGGCGGATTGCAAGGCACAATTCATCAACCTGGAGACCATAAAAAGCTTAGTAAAGGACCACATTCCAGACACAGTTGGAGAAATTCATTTAATAATTCCACTACATCGTAACCAAAATAATTAAGTTAGCTTGAGGCTATATATTTAAGAAATACAAAAAATAAACTTAAAAAGTAGATTTTTTTTTCAAATTAATAATCTAAACTTATTCAGTGAATTAATAATGTGCAATTTTATTTTTCGTTTTTATTTTTTGGCCATTTAATTATTTGTCATTTTGTTCTCTGTTCTATCATTAATGTTTGTTAACTTACTTTTTTTCATAGACATATGTTTTAATATTATTTTAATATTCTGTTACATAATTTTTTCAATTTTATTTTATGATTATAATAATTAAGAAATTTGAGAATGTATACTGACAACCTTTAAGCGAACATATCATATTTGCACACCCTAAAAATGGGTAGAATATAGCGATAAAAATTACTGTACTGTACACCTCATGCCCAACCTATATTTCGCAAATAAATACATTATTATTATTGTTATTATTATGTGGTTCATTTATTTCTCTCAGGTATGACATGGTGATATTATTATTATTATTATTAAAGTGTTGGTCTTCTTTATGCTCAAGAGGTTCAAGATACTATTGTAAATCATTTAAGTTTATTACAAAGTAATTTCTAGAAGGTGTACATTTCATTAAAATTCCGAAAGATAATTAAAAAAGTAAAAAAAATTGTGTATGCTACAAAAATAAAAGTGACTTGTTTCAAGGTCCTTTCTTGCGTGCACAACTGATCAAATTCCTAGATTGTGGTTATTTCATGTTAAACACACGTGTGCCAGGAAATGATTACACAATCATTTATCATGTCATATACAAAAAATCTCCTATATTTTTAGAAATCTATATTATCTCATTACAAATAGCTTTGATCACATCAAATTCTAACCATTCAAAGACAGACCCTCTGTCATTTTATTCATTTTATTTTAGTCAAAATTCTATTTTTATTTGTCAATATATCTATTCATAAGGGCTATCAGGTAAAATAACAAAATCTTTTAGATAATATTAAATTTGTTAAACTGTTAGGGTCCACAAAATGATCTTTGTACGAAGTTTATTATGCTGAAATCGAAAATATAAGAATATATAATATCGAAGATATAAGAAATTTAGATATTGAACACAGTACAGTACATGGATCGAAATCAAAGAGTTTTATTTAACTAATGTCGAGGACATCGTTAACGCGATGATATCTTCCGTAACACGCGACAAGATCATATCACAATATGATACATTGTAATGACAATGATACACGTGATAATAAATATGGTGCGTAATTATTTATTGTATCCAGAACCATGCGAAGTCCCATAGTACAATGAGGCCTCGTGGAAACAACGCAATGGACAATTTTGTTACCCTATGTTATCTTTTGGTATGGTTCACTTGTACAAGTAGGTGTATTGATATGCTGGTAAGTGAAATTGGATTTTAATCAAGCAAAAAAAAGTCTCATAATGAAATAATTTGCCAATAAAGAGAGAAGATTTGAATAAGTTTAAATCATAAACTTTACATTTTTAAATTTAACGACCCTAAAAGAAGCCAATTAATTTCGGCCCCTCGTAATTCAGTTGAAGGACTGAGTGGAAATAAGATGAATGATATATTATTCATATTTTGCCAGAAATTGTCGAGACATTCATGTCGGTGACATTCATTGACTACGAGGCGCAGTCGCCAAGGTGTCGGCTACGGCGCAGGGGGTCATGGGTTCGATTCCCACACGAGCCAACTATTTGTGTTAGCCCCGGATAATCATTTCGGATATGGGTGTTTGTTCACTTCAAATTTATGCACTTATGTAAAACGTCCTTACAACACAGGATACAGTTAACCACTAGTAAAGCGTAATTTTTTCAAAGGGAAGACTACAACAGAATCTTCCAGGTCAAGGTTTATTCCCAAGTCTCTATTGTGGGGGCCCCTCTTTCCCCTGAATCCGGCCCTGCCCCTTCCCCACGAAACACACAGCGTTGTTACTATGCGTCCGTGTCCAGGGTCCCGGCAAGTACACCATCGTGAACATCGAGAAGTGCGCAGCGGCCGAACTGTACCCCAGCGGGATGAACGTCGAGGTACACCGCGTGAACCGCTCGCACGTCGCGTTCACATTCACGGTGCACTTCGACCGGGACATAAACGAGTTCGTGTCGGTGAGCTAAATATTATACCAACACTCACTTTTTTTGTTTTTTTTTTTGCGTGGAAAAAAGTCCTTATGGATCTCCTTTTTGATACACTACACCTCGCTTTACACGCGCCACAAAAATAACCCCAGGGGAATATTCATAATTATACTTCAATATTCTAACTAAACGTAAAACTTAAAAGTTTAAAAACTTAAACCCGACCACTGCAAAAGCAAGGTCTACAAGACATAAAATATTCTCATCTGCACCACATAACAATTTAAAAATTCATCGTGTATGAAATAAACGACTTACACGCAATGTACTTTGATGTATTTAATATTCATAGTGATGTTCAGAGAATAGAGGCCATTATGCCATTTTATACTAAAGCTTATGATTTGCGCGTATTCACGCGTCAACCTCTGATATGTTTTTGAAAGACATAATCATTCCTCTTTCGAATTGACAGATTATATCGAAATCCAACCTTGCCCACTGTTTAATGCTTCGAGTAGTATACCGAAAAACGATAGAACCTACATCGTACACTTGTACCAAATGCGGACGACATGTAAACATCGAAATATTTCGAGTAGCGTTCGGACGAAACGAGTGATGTTATATTGTTTCTATCCACTGTGTACTATTTGACGACTCCGTGGCGCAGTTGCCAAGGTATCGGCTTCGGCGTCGGGGGTCGTGGGTTCGATTCCCACACGGGACAACTATTTGTGCGACCCACAGATAATTGTTTAACATCTGGGTGTTTGTCCACGTGAAAATTATGTTTGTAAAACGTCCTTACAGCACAGGATAATGTTATCCTAAAGTAAGGGCAAAGTTTAAATAAAAAAAACTATAATTGTCGCTTTCTACCGCAGATACGCATAGACATTTGCAAATACGTGGACGGCGGTTGCAAGCCGTATCAGACGCTGGTCGACGAGTCGGCGATCAGGTTCTGCGAGAAGTACGCCAAGAAGAATGTGGAAACGGGCCTGAGTATGGCCGATATAGAAAACTGGCCCATACTGGCGGTAACTGTTGCACTGCTTTTATATATACTAGCCACCCGCCCCGGCTTGGCACGGATGCAATGTATTATACATATAAACCTTCCATGAATCACTCCATCTAGTAAAAAAACGGCATCAAGAACATTGGGAGAGACATAGGGACTGACAGACAGCAGGACGACTTTGTTTTATACTATGTAGTGAAACCACACATTTTTTTATGGAAAAATGGAGGCAAATGAAGGAGGCACCTGATGGTGAGCAATCACCGCCATACATAGAAACACTTGCAACATCGGTTGAGTCACAATTGCGTTGCCGGCCTTTAAGGTAGAAGTAAGCCCTTTTCTTGAAGGGCCCTAAGTAGTATCGGTGCGAAAATACCGCTGGCGACAACTGGTTCCACAAGTAGCTATGCGGGGCAGACAATTGCGTGAGAAGCGTACAGTGGTGGACCGGTAATAATGGTGCATAAGTAATAACGTCGACGTACTTAATTTATTATTATTATTTATTAATATTATTATGAATTTTCATATAGTACTTAATTTATTTAGGCATCGTGTTAATTTGCGTGAATGCGACAAACCCATCGTTGTAGTGTAACTATACTTCTTTGCAAAATGATGATAGTGAATTTTTACGATTCACGACACCTAAAAGCGACGACACCTTATGAGGTTAGATAGATGTATGGATGGACGGATTGATGAATGGATTACACTTTCACGCAAAAACTACGGAACGAGTATTGATAATACTTTAAAGTAATGTAAGTATTAAAAAAAACATTAAAGTAAGTAAACTAATAAATTTGCATCGGAATAACGCATATGCTACAATATATAAAGATTTAGCCACAAATATTATTATATAATAGATTGGTAAATTTTACGATAATAATCTAGTACAATAAACTTAGACATGAAAACTCCTAAATTCAATAGTGTAATAGGGACTCAATAAGTTTATCTTTCAATGTGTTTTGTATTTGAAAAGGGCAAAATCCGACATGTAAGGGCATGAAAATGGGAACATATTCAGGGAAACATATTTCCCTGAATATGTGTAATTTTCGCGTTAAGCATTCGCGTCTGTAATTTTTTTTATTCTATATATTCTTTATTTATTCTCTACTTGATATATGCGATACATTATTTTTCTCAAAAACAGTTGGCAACCCTTGTCACAACTCATGCAATGTGCTCACCCAAAAAATATAGATAACCAGTTATATCCCCGTAGCGTTTCACTGCGGCAAATACACTGCGGCTACAGTTAAAACCTGTTACATCCACATTTAGGGCGACTACACAGTGGACGACTACATTTTCAACTTGGACGAGCTGCCCGAAAAAGGGATGTACGGCGACTTCATAGCCAAGAGCTACCTGCTAATGGAGGGAGTCGAGTTCGCGTGCGTCCAGGTAGCCGTCAAGTTCGAGAAGTGCGACGACGAAGACGGCGACGACGATTAGATTTCGACTTTATTGGTAATAGAATAAAGTCTAATTCGCTTGTAACGTTGTTTGCATTTTTTATTAGACGCCCGGAAAGACAGTCACCGCAACAGCAACGGTGTATAACGAAGCTGATATTATTTGGCAATTTAATCAATAATTAAATGTTTGACCTCAAAAGTGTCTTAATGCAGGGTTTATTCTCAAGATATCGGACAAACGTGTCCATACGCCTTGGGAACAAACAATAGATCGGGAGCAGTTAATTGTGGGTCACACAAACTTGTCCCGTGCGAGAATCGAATCCACCAGTCCCACCGCTGAAGAACATCACAAGCTTTATTTCCAATGCGAACGAGTGACATCACCCTTTTCGTCAAACGAAATCATAAGAAAGAGAACTGGATAGTGCGAATTTTACGAGAAAGTTCCGTTGAGCGAACGTAAAGCTGGGTCGACATCAGTGACATTTCGCCGAACCGAACACCGTCACCGTGAGAAAGTCTGTACCGATAGTGAGGACGGTATTTGTTCTGTGTACAGATGTAACAATCATTTATCCGTCTCGTGCTCCCATAAAAAAATATTTCAATCCCGAACATTGCACGTACTGCCAGTTACAAATGTGGTCGTTGGTTTGATTTTGTCACGGTCAAGTGACACGGGTTAAGCGGCCGCGTCACGCGTAATATTAGAGTATTCTCCCACCCTCCATCCTACCATCCGCTCCCCCTCCCGGAAGGGAAGTACCGTAGAACGAACGTAAGAAGCGGCCACGTCACATTAGAGCACTGGTTCTCAAAGTGAGCGGTACCACCCCCCCAGTGGGCGCTGAGTCCACCTGGGAGGTAAAATAGAGACAGATTAAAATTTAAATAATATTGGAGTCGCTATATGGAAATCGGTTAGCCGTGGAAAGAAGGTATAACGGTACGTTGATAATCTTCAATCTACATATTTCTGAAAAATATTTCTGGCTCCCGGCCGTTGCCCTTTCCCCGTCACCTGACGAGCAGCTCGAACTGGTGGTGCTGCAGCAGCTGCTTGTTGGTGGGCAGGCGCGCGGCGAGGTCGCGCACGAGCGCGGCGCGCGCGGCCGGCGCACGCAGCGCGCGCAGCACCGCCGGGAACGACTTGCGCGCGTCCGCGTACCGCCCCTCGAACAGCGCCGCCACGCACGCGCGCAGCACCTGCGCGGCGCGCCGTACGCGTTGCGTGCGCGAGCTGTTAGGGGAACGTCTGCCTCGCCCGAGGCGACGGGACCTCGTGGCGCCTACCCGGACGAGCCTGCCCGTTCGTTCGCAGTATCGCAGTGCTTATTATCGCACGGAAAATTCTTCCTTTCCCCGGACCTTATCCTCGGATGTACCTTAATTGTATTGGCTACATTATCGGCCACCTGATGTCAACCTTACTTGGAAACAAGATCCGACCTGTGCATCTCACAAATAAATGTCCCGAGTGGGAATCGAACCCGTAATCACCGGCGCCAAATTACCACGTAATATCTTTATACATAAAAATATAGCTTCCGTTAGTATGTATTAACAAAACACAAAAACTAGCCCAAGAGTAGACTCGACATTTCTTCACATCATAGCTACTTTTTGTATACTTTTTATTCTGACATTAAAAATGAAACGAAACAAAACCACATCAAAGTGCGACCGGCAGCTAGCCGATAGAATAAATACGGAGAGATTGAGGGCTGCAAGGTATACCTCCAGACGTCGCGCCGAATTGGTGAGGAGCATCTGACCTGGCTCCTCGCCCCCCGTGGGCGGCGCTGCCGGCGGAACTATCCGCGCCTGGGGCGGCCTCAAGGCAGTCAGCCTGCACGGAAACCACAATTGACTTCAGTCGAATCGACTAGTTTTCAATTTCAATTTTGAGCAAAAGTATACGAACACGTTTCCCGTATGAAGTATTGTAGGTGAGTTACGGAAATCAGAAAAAATTACCATTATATTCGGATGGAAAGTCATGCGGGGTATCTTAGTGTTAAGAGTATTCAATTTAACATGCCTATTTTTATACCTTAGCGGGACTTTTACAGCATTTGTGACAAATATATTTTTTATCATATTATAACGTTATTTCAATTAGCAGTATTATAACTACGTGTTCCAATCGATCGTTCTATCGGGGTGTTCCGTATGCACCCATCTTTTCTCAACCCGTCATGACTGTGACTCATGAATGTATTAGTACATAAAGAGAAATAGTGCGAAATAGTGTGTGAGAGAGAGAGAGAGAGAGAGATAGAAAGGGAGATAGAGAGTGGGGCGAGAGGGCGAGGTAGAGATATAGAACGGGAGAGAGATGTAGAAAGATGGAGACAAGGCGAGAGTGGGGTACTGACTTGGCGTTGGGCGCGCTCCGCTGCGCCACGTCGCGTATGACGTCGCGCACGCGCGCCGCGTCTAGCGGCGGCAGCGGCGGCTGGTGGATGCGCGCCTCCGCGCCCAGCGGCGGCCGCAGCACGCGCTGCTGGTACGCCTGCGACACCACCTGCCTCGCCACGTCACGCCCCACGCCCCACGCCCACCGGCGAGAATCGCGGAAGACCGGCCCGAAGTGCAAGCGTCATCTTGGGCGTTTCGCTGTTGCACGGATGGGCGGCCTCGTCCGTGCAAACCTCACAGTACACCGGCGTCGAGTGAAAGTGTTACACTTATGTGTTTCGCTGTAGTAGGGCCAAAGTCTTCGCTGTTGTACGACCGAGCGGGCTCGTAGTGAAAACCTGACAGTAGACCCGCATGAAGTGGAAGCGTTGTACTAGCGCGTTTCGTCTGCTGAGTGAGCGTTTCGTTGGTTAAACTCCTGCATCGCGACTGTGCAGGCTCGTCCGGGGAAGAGGCACGGCCGTATAGAAGATCGGTGTGAAGTCGAAGTATCATACTTTACGTAATATTAGTGAGGTAACCGGGAGCCTTTTTAGTGGTTGACATCTTCTGCATCCCGTCAGGTGTTAATGAGAATGTTAGTGATCACTTAACATCAGATGAACCGGCTGCTCGGTCGCCAAATTTTAATATTCAAAGCAAAAGGTAACCGGAGCCCACTTGATCAAAAGGTGGCAACGCAATAGCAACCCCACGAGTGTCGCAGATGTCCATAACAATATCGATAATCGGTCATATCCTTACCTGAGGGTTGGGATTTTCATTCAGGTGCAACTGCATCGCCAAGTCTTGTATGTGCTGCAATTCCAGGTCCGGATTCAATGACTCCAACCTCAACTGCTCAGGCAGGTTCCTACCAAATATCGAAACGTTATTTTCCACGTTTTTTAGTAAGGCTTCAAAATGTACACGGCTGATCGTAAATAAAAATAGGGAGAGTGGAATAGTTCCCAATTGGCGAGACAGAATGGGTGCGTTTAAGGAAAACTCTCTCTCCATGATTGACCTCGTGTTCAGGAACCACACCACAAAAAATTGTCAATATACTAGAGCAACCTGAGTTTAATCCCCAGTGCCGGCACCAATAGGATTTTAAGTGTGGATTTATGACGTGCTCATCGGTGAAGGAAAACGTCGTGAGGAAACCGGCATATTTTCGAAATAACAACCAACAAAATATGTCAAGTCCGCCAATCCGCAGAGGGCCGCGTGGTGTTCTGTGACAGTGGGACATTTATAGGCCGTTACTTTACTTTCTTTTTTAACTTCTCCATAACGCGACTTTTGCCTGGTACCTATATTCAACGAACGTCCATTAGTCATATAGCTTCGTAACTTTCATGACGACTTTTAGATTAAAGGAACGCTAGTAATTCACTTTCCATAGGTAACGCAACGGCTCGTAAGTATAACGCTTCGTTTTGTTAATATAGGAACCGGGCGTACACGGCTTTTATCTGCAAGCCGTTATGAAAATTACGAAGCTAAGTGAATATAGGAACCGGGCATCAAAGGACACGATGCCCGGTCGAGTGGCGAGGCGGTACTCACTGCACCAGCTCGTCGAAGATGTCCGTGGGCCGCCACGGGGGGCCGCGCTCCGCCACCAGCCCGTTGAAGAACATGGAGTCGAGCAGGCGCACGGCGAAGGGGCACGCGGCCAGCCCCCGGCTGCCGAGGAACCCCGCCTTGTGGAAGGTCAGCACCGGCGACGGGTGGATGCGGATCATCGTCAGACAATGCCTGCGGACCATGCGGAACGGCTCGTTAACGACAGCAGGCGGTATCGAGTAACTATCGCTGTAACTATCGTTGAATGACAAAAAAGATGATGCCTACTTACGGAGTTTCTTTCGCCTGTTTGTTCTCCGCTAGAGGAACCTCATTACGAAACGGTGATAGATTTAAAAAGAATATGACTATCGATTGATGAATTGTAAGTTTCTTATGTCGATGAATAAATAATTTTGACTTTGATATAAATAGAATGATTGGTGATAGATATATGTACTGATCAGAACAGACTTGTATAAGTATATAGACTTCTTGTACCTGTATCATAGAGTCGTTCTATAAACACAAATTGGATACAACGGAAATTCAAATGCGGAAGGAAATAAACGGTATTAAAAGCTTTAAAAAGTCCTTTTGATCGCAACTCTAATGACTCGGTGGTGCAAATGTTAAGCTATTGGTGTCGACGCCAAATGTCGAAGGGTCGATTCCCATACGTATATAAGTATTTGCCCACGAAACATAATTGTTCCGGATCTGGGTGTAAACTCTCAAAGAAAGTTCATGTAGGTCTGGCGACTAGTAGTAGTAAAGTACAAGTTGCGCCGATCCCACCTAGGTGGGTAAAAAACAGAAGAAAGAAGAAGCATCATGGTGTTGTCCTCCTTCAGTGTTCTCACAATGACTTCTAAATAGTTCATTCCAGAGTAAAGAAATGAGATGGTCACAATGGGGTTGACATATTCAAATAGGGATAAAAGCCCAAAAAAAATTCTGGTAGCAAAAAAGAAACAGTATTGCCATTCTCTGTTGTCTTTGTAGCGTTGTAGCGCTGCCGATACCTGTATCCCTGCAGCAGTTTGGCGAGCGTCCGCATGAACACCGCCCGTATCTCCTTGTCTAGCATGTGGGGCGGGGAGGCGGCGGGCGGCGGGGGGGCGAAGGCCGAGTCCGCCGAGCGCAGCTCCGGCTGCAGCACCAGCGCCAGCGCCTCCTGGAGGGACGCCAGCAGCCTGCCCTCGGGGCGGGGGATGTTCACGCTGGCCGGGATGTGCAGCGAGCCCACGTCCAGGTCGGCCACGATCACGTCCAGCTGCGAACGGGACGGGGGTCCTGGGCTCTACTGTGACACACTTGGTTCGATGGACGAGGGTCTATCGACTGTACCGTGTCACAACTGGTGCAATTGAGGTTTGCGTTACGTCCAGTGGGAGAAGTAACCGGTGGTCTATCCTCTTGAGTTTTCGCAATACATTTACTATAGCTGACGGTGCGATGCGTAGGAATGATAAATAGTTTAGTAAAAAGAGATCTACAATATTCGTAGGGTACTACGAGGCTTACTTTCTCAAGTATTGAGGGGCACGAATTCTAACCATTAAACACGTAGGCCGTGATAGGTCAGTGTCCAGGCGTCAGTGTCAAGCAAACTCAGTTAAATCCCCGGTAGGGGCCACCAATGAAATTGTTAATTTTAAGTGCTGACTTATCACATGCTCGACGGCGAAGACAAACTTCGTGAGGATGCCTGCATGTTTTCGAAAAAATAAAAATAATTATAAATACCGCCTATCCGCAGTGGGGTCCGGGTGGGGTCTGGTAGTGGATTATGGCTTAATACCCTCTGTACAGAGGTCTTCGCCCAGCAGTGGGACATATAGGCCGTGACTTTACTTTTCTAAGCACCTAGAGGAGATAAGTCAAACCAGCTACAGTTCCACTACAATAGTACAGCCGCGACTCAACCCACCAGCTCTGTGACCTCCTCCTTGAGGCTGGAGTGGACGCCGATGAGGAAGGGCGTCGGCGTGGCCAGCACCTCCGCCAGGCCGGCGGGCAGCAGGGGAATGTACACGTGCGCGTAGCGGAAGGGGAACATTAGAGCGGCAAGCGCACGGCACGCGGCTGATAGACGGGCCGCTGCCAGCGATACGAGCAGCACCTTGTGCTCGCTCATCACCGCGCACCACAGCGTCACCGAGTTGTGGATGCCTGGAAACGACGGCTCGTTATGGCTTCGGCGCCGGCAGTAATTGGTTACCATTGGTCCGACGTTGTTTCGAATCTCGGTGACAAACACCCACGTGAATTTTGTATAATGATGATACAGTAAGGGAAAATTTGTTGGTTCGACTCGTTTGACCCACAGACCGTTGATCTCGACAACGCCAATGTGTGGAGTTAATACTGTTGATACTCACGTAGGCTAGAATAAGACTATTATTATACCTGTCTGTTATATTGTAAACTGATATTTTTGAAAAAGAGCAATTGTTGAGTTTCTTGCCGGTCTCTTCTCAACAGAAACTGCTTTCCGAACCGGTGGTACCTTACGAACCTACATATAAGTTTTTATGTAAAATTTGACGATTCATAAGAACGCGCTAGAGTCTATTTGAATAAAGATATTATAGATTTGATCGTTTCGGATCTGGGCGTTTGTCCACGTGAAAACAATAACGTCGAACTATAACGTCCTTACGCACAAGATAATGTTATCTTACAGTAAGGGTTTATTCCCAAAAAAAAGCATTCCGAGGCCATGATAAGAACCAACTATCTAATTAATTCGAGGAGATTTCTCTCACATCTTCGGAAACTTGTATCGATAGATCAACTACTACTGGGTCACAAATATCCCCACTTACCCAGCAATCTCAGCAACATGTGCACGGCCGTGTGGGTGACCGGCATGGGTGGCGCCGCCGGTGGCTGGATCGCCTGCCTGTCCCCGGCACCGATACTGAATCGCACCTGGGGCCCCCCAGCCGGGGGCACCAGCACGCACCCCACCAGGTTCCCCACGAGCGTCTCCAGCGGCACGCCCAGATTCTCCACCCACACCGTGTATATTATCCCCAGGCAGTTCTGGGGAGCGTAATAATAGTCTGCGTATAATCTTCATTTTCACCACGAATGTCCCGACGTATGGAGAAATCCTGGCCTTACATAAAATCAGCGTAAAGCAGAAAAAGTATTTATATTTGCACCAATGGTCTGGCGAGTGAGGTAGTCATATGTGAAGTCCGCCAAGTCTAAGATATGCTTAGAAATACTTTTTTTTTTGTTATTTCTAAAATATGCAGGTTTCCTCATGATGTTCTTCACCGCTGTGCACGTCATAAGTCAGCACTTAAAATAAACAATTTCATTGGTGCTAACACCGGGATTTGAACATAAGTTAACATAATTGCAACTATTTGCAACTTGTAAGTCAGATGTTAGACATTTGTCAAACACAGTTTTTATTTTGTATATTGTAGTTAATTGGACAAATTTGGATGGGAGTAATCTCCCATATCACTATATAGGCATACAAATGTTACTTTAAAGAGAATAGTTAGTACGAGTATGCGCATTTTTATGCAAATACGAAACTATTGTCAATTATGAATGCTAGACATAATAGTAGGTACTTTCGTGTAGCTCTTACATCATATAAAAAAATCCCAAGTCCTATGTATACCGAGACAATATCTTCGACCTCAACAGTGACTATACATAGGGAGGATTCTAGAATCCTCGACCCAAACAGCTTTAATTATTATTTCTGAAAAATAAAGACTTTTACACCTAATCAATTTTAGTGACAAATACGTTTCTCATGCATCCTTACCCGAAAGGTGTCAATGTAGTCCTGCCGTGAGACGATGACGAGGCACTTGGGCGCGTACATGATGCTATGGTGGGTGATGTTGGCCACCGACCTCGATGAGTCCAGGGACTCCTCGTCCTGGAAGAGTAATGTTTAAAAATTAAAAAAAAATACCTAAACGTCTAACAACGAACCTTCATTTAACAAGTGAATTAAAAAGATATTTACATTTGTAATTTTGAGTTTGTAGAGTTTATAAATAAATTTAAGGTGTAATCAACTGATTGTAACGTTAAAGCCCGGTTTCTGAAACACTGATCATCGTAGTTAACTAATCAGTACCCTCTGATTTGATTACAATGAGTTAAAAAGAGTTTAACAATCCTTTTGGCAACTCAAATAACATTTGAAAAGACATTTGACAGCTGATTAGTTGACATCTACGATGATCTTACTACACTTAAACGAGCGATCGAATCTATAATAAAAATATATTTGGTTATTATTTTATTCAGTTTAGTGCTAATATGTGGTACTGTAAGTTATTAAGGTTTTGATTAAAAAGAAAACTCTATTTGGAGATCGGTCTTTATTATTCATAGAAATACAACCTTTCTCACTTCTCTACGTATTCTAAAGTAAGTGTAGAACTCTAATTTATGTCTATGAGGGAGGAATATGTTCAACAGTGGACTCGGAAACTCTGAAATGCCGATACGTATATTTTATGCTGTTCCCGCATCCTTCGAGCGTGGAGTAAGGCCTTCATCTCACGAAGGGGCCCGACCGAAACAACCCCCACCTGCGGGGCGGGGGGTGGGTAGCGACGGAATTTCATTACGCCCTCGCGACGCGACACTAGTGCTGTTTATGCATAAAGCGATGAACTCGTCAGACGGGGCTAATTTATCGCCGGCGGTCCTAACGGATCGGCCGTGTTCGCTAAACTGAAAACCAATTTCACCCGCACAAAAAACCGGTCGGGTAGTCGCGAGCGACACTTGCCTTAGGGTTTGCGAACAAGACTAATTGACTAATACGTACTAACATATAGGTTTTTACACTTTAAAATATTATAATAGTTCTAACGTTTTTACCTTGATCCTAATATTTTTACTATTACTGAACTTGAATATTAACAACTATTATAACGACGAGCAGCACTAGTGGTTATATCACCGTCCGGGAACGCGGCCGAAATCCCAGTGACCGCTGCTCCATGCGACCATGTGTCCCTTCGCTCGAGTAGATAACATCACATTCGGTATACAGTGTTGCCAGCGCCAACAATATATAATATGTATCGTGAATATTAAAAACTTTCTTCCCGTCACATATTTTGATTCTATGTCTCTCTCAAGACGGCAACAAAATCACATCATAATACAAGCCAAACAATTTCGCATTTCAAATCAACCGTAAATCTTAGTATTTAATGCAGTACCGTCTTTACCATAAGGGCACGAAATGCGGGAGTATTCACTAACAATACAGCTTTATTTATATTTTATGTAATATTACCCGATAAAAAAGCCTAGCCTGAGGACGTAGTTAATGATACTGGACACCAAGTGTGATCCCTTGAAAACTATTAAAATTTTAGGGATAAGTTCAATCCACATTTCTGACATGAGGTATTTGCACATCCCGGCATGCAATAAAGGTTTTTACTTTCCAAGAGGCTCCCAAATTCTTGTGTGCCCAAGGGACCCGTTATGGCCTAGGACTACGTTGATTACAAGACCCCAATTTACAAATACCGTTTTAACTTAGTATGAACTTCTTACATTCAAAAGTTGATTTTGGACATTTGTGCCCGGTGTACATCGGCTCTTACAACCATAATTGAATCGATGAAATGTGAGTAAAATGAAAAATGTATACTATTTACAGCGCTGTATTCGTCTAAATCTCTTTATTGCTGCACAAATCATAATTGTACATATTTAGCTGTACACTATGATTCATTAGGCATTTACGGCTACACTTACACATAATAAGCAGTAACCCGAGTGTACATTAACACCGATAAGGCAACTTAATCGATGTGCTTAACAAAATACATAACTTGTAACGTCGTTGGAGAGAAGGCGCGATGAGATAATGCGTCCGAGGAGCATTACATAGAAAACATCAGCAATACCGCTTTAAGACTTTGGTTCTCTATATACATATATTTCAAGGACCTAATGTCGTAGTTAATCTAACGGGAATAAGTTAAGTTTTTCTGTGTTCTATGTTCTCTGTTATATAATATATCACAATTCGTTGTTACGTTAGTTTTAAGTATACGGAGTCACCTGTTCATTTTGCGCGAACATACAGAAGAGAAAATCCCTTAATCATTTATTTCGTTAATTAAACAACATTTACATACTAGCTTACATTTTTACACTAGTTAAATGTGCATAGCATTGATCACATTTTATATTATATAATTTTACTCAGTGTCAGTTTATATGATATTGAGGGGTTTTCTATGCGGGGTTTCATCTATGAGGGGTTTTTGTCCAAGGTTGGCAAAAAAAACTATGTCTACTTTAACCTGGCAAAAAGATTTATGAACAATCGCACGTTGAGATTTTGTTCTCAATAAACGGTCGTCGAGAGTTCGCGTGTTGGTACACGTCGGTGCCAAAACCAGCGAACGGAAACCCAAGAGTCGCTTTAACTGGTATCGATAACAGTGACGTTTTGCTCACGTGCACAGAGGAAAAGCCGCGGACACTTTCTAGGCGCGTTGCTAGTTGCTACCGTCCAACCGGTGATTCGCGATTCGAAACGTACGCCGAATGATATTTTCCAAGTCGCCGAACATGGTTTGCGTTTCTAGCGGTACATTGCGCAGCAACTAACCAAGTGAAATATGATTTTTAAATCCAAATATAGCAGAGCATGGAGATGTCCGCCTGTGGAGAGGATATATGTAACACAGGATTTATTATATAAGTAAAGTTACAGCCTTTACCAGTCCCATGGGTGGGCAAAGGCCGATATGCTGTAGCGCATAGTCCACTACGCGACCCCACTGAGAATTGGCAGACTTTATTTTTTTTCTAATTATTTCGAATAGATAGTTTTCTGGCGATGATTTCCTTCACCGTAGAGCGCGGGATAGTACAGCACTTGAATTTAATAATTTCATTGGTGCTGTAACCGGTTTTCGTTATGAAAGTCAATAATTTTAGTGGGGGTTTAGAAACAAAAAGGCAAAAACTTTTTGATATCGCCTATTTTATTAGTCCGTCTGTCTGTCTGTCCATCCGTCTGTCACCAGGCTGCATCTCATGACAGTTAGACAGTTAAATGTTCACAGATGATTTATTTCTGTTGCCGCTATAACATCAAATACTAAAAAACAGAATAAAATAAAAAATATTTAAAGGTGCAACCTATAGACACTTACCAATTTGTTTATTATAGATAATGGTACGGAACCCTACGTGCGCGAGTCCGACTCGCACTTGGCCAGTTTCAGGCAAGCTCAACGGCCTCACAGAAGACGAACGTAAAGTGGAAGAGTCATACCTTTGCGTTTCGTCTGGCGGGATCCATACTTTTTGAGTTTGGCAGCGCATTTCCAACACCATGGGTGCCACGAACGGTAATAACTTGCCATCACGTATAGTGCATGCCCACATGCCAGTTTCTCGAATAAAAAGCTGACATAGTTGGCGGGCGCCGTGCCTTTTATTACCAACGCTGTTCTCGCTTGCCAAATATTCGCATAAAACGTAAATATGCCGTTCGACTGTCTTATCGTAAAGTAAATTGGGAAATGTTCAAGTGTTAAGATACTTACTAGTATAGTCATTTATAAGTTGCTTCATTCATTCCGTGGTAGAGCCACGCAACAGATGTCGCTGTAACACGAATGGGCAGGTCCATCCGGGGTCTAATAGAAAACCGGCGTGAAGTTGAAGTATTATACTCTCGCGTTTCGTCTGGTGAGTGAAGTAACCGGTGCCCACTTTTAAAAGTTGTCTTCGCACTCAAAATGCCTTCAGGTCTTATAGATGTTCATGGGGTGGACCACCCTTAACATTTAGGGGGATGAAAAATAGATGTTGTCCGATTCTCTACCCTGGCCGATATGCACACAAAATTTAACGAAAATCGGTCGAGCCGTTTGGGAGGAGTTCAATTACAAACACCGTGACACGTGAATTTTATATATTAGAATTTAAAGTTATAAACGAAATAATTTAAATCTATTTAATGCAATAAGTCAAGTGACTAAACTTTGGTTTGAATGGTTAATGTGTGATCTTGGTTCCAAATAATTATAAATGTCGCTATATGAGTGGAGCTTCGAGATATTATGACATAAGAGTGAGCCTGGTCTGTTGGGTTCGAGACTAAGAACATTAAGCATCTAATATTAATAAATAAGTATTTTCTAAAAAGTAAAGTTATTTAAGAGCCGTGACAGCTCAGTGTCCGGGCGCTCGCCTTTAATTACATTCACTCGAGCAACCCGAGTTCGATCTCCGGTGCCGGCACCAGTGACAATTGTAAATTTTAAGTGCTGAATTATCACGTGCTGGGCGGTGAAGGAAAACATCGTGAGGAAACCGGCATATTTTCGAAATAATAATTCAAAAAAAATTCGAAAATATATGAAGTCCGCCAATACGCAGTGGGGTCGCGTGGTGGCCCTGATACCAGGAGGCAAAGGCCTCCTCTGTAAAGAGGGTATCAGGGCACAGTTTATTTTTTTTTAATTTTGGCCTTTGCCCTGCAGTGGGAAAATTTATAGGTTGTTACTTCACTTTACTTTTAAAGTTATTTAAATAGAATAAGATCAAATTGTGGAATTATATCGACAAGCCTGGATTAAATAGTGCTTTTGTACTAGAGGTTATTGGGTTTTATTACAGTCTATTAACATTCTTAATACAAATTAACGAGGCGATACTAATAAGAGTTGTAGAATTATAAGCTTCGCGTTCAATGGACGTGATAAGGTCCAAATTAGATTGGCGACCCGTGTCCGGGATAGACCCTACGCAAGTGTTGACTCTACTAATCAAACGTACACTAAACTTGTTTGCGAATAAGCCGCAATGTTTGTTCAGTGAACGCTTTTGTTCAGGGTTCAATAAATAACAACAGTTTATAGAACCGACACTTAAAAT